CAGAGAAGCGGGTCTCTTGCCCCTCACTCCTCCGACACCCGCCCGCCGCAGCTCCGAAGCAGCCTGCGATTCTGTCCGTTTTCTGGTCCACTAAAGCACCTACGGTACGTACTCTCTACCTATTTGACGTTGCACTTTATCGCCACGCGGAACGCCGGGCAAGCGCAAGGACCACCCGATGCTCCACCTGCCAGGGCCAAGTCAGACAGGGAACAGAGGTGCTTCGGTGCCGCGGGATCGTCTGCTTCAGGATCACCTGGCTAATGCGGTTCCTGAGCTGTCCCTCAGCCACAGCGCTGTCACCCATAGGTTGCCATTCTTTCGTCTGAAGTTTTTGAAGCCAATGCGTCGCCTCCGTGAGCAACTCGATGGGAGGCCAGCGAAACATTCGTTTCACGACCGAGAGAACCTCGTCACTTGATAGCATCGCATTGATACCACTGTTCACTGCCTTTCTGGTATGACCTCTCGCCCGACCCCAATGCCGAGCCTTCTCTTGCTGACTGATCGTCATGGCGTAGCTCGCCGTGCCGCCCTCGGTTTCCTAACCACTTAGGTCCTTAGGTCTCGCCCCTGTCTGATCCGCCGAATCGTCGACGACTCACCTTACATATCTTGCCTAGCCCCCACGTTCATTCCTCCACTATGGATGACCGAAGACATGAGCAGGAACCGCTCTTGAGCATCATGGAGCGACAACAGGCTGACGAGCCTACGAACCGGCCAAATGCCACAGAACATCCCGATGCGCCGCTTGAGGGCAGTCCTCGCCGCGAACTCGAAGTCGATGACGACTCCGGTCCATCGACACCCCGGTTCATGCAGGACGAAGGACACTGGAAGCGCTGGAGATGGGTGCCATTCCCGGTGCGCCGCATCGTAAAGGCCGCCGCGAAATGGTTCAAAGGCCCGCCAAACCCACACGATTACAAGATCAAGCCCATCTTCTCCCAAGTTCAAGAGTTCCCTCTTGTGTTGGTTGATCGATACCTCCGAAAATTTAAGCACCGGGTCGGCATCGTTTTCCTCTACTTCGCCATTTGGATCATCACATTTGCTTTGGTCAAGAGGAGCGAGACATTTGCTACGGAGGTTGAAGGATGGGGAGCACCGTCACAGATTGGTTGTGGTGCAGCATACTGGACGAGGGGAAATAATTGCGGCCTCAATGGTGCGGACTGCCGCCCGTTCAATGGCAGCGGCTTTGCCTTCCGGTGCTCAGCCAACTGCGCCGGCTACATGGTTCTGAATCCAAGGGCGGTCGGAGACCAGGAGATTGTCTACCAGTCGCTTGTTATCGGCGGACAAACCGACAACTCAAGCTCGCCAGTTTACCGAGGTGATTCATTCATCTGCGCCGCTGCGATCCATGCAGGTGTGATATCTAATGACAATGGAGGTTGTGGTGTCGTCCGCCTCGTCGGCCGAAACGAGGACTATCTGAGCTCGGAGAAGAATGGAATTGATAGCATCAGCTTCGACTCCTACTTCCCACTCTCATTCACATTCGAGCCTGGCATTCAATGCCGCGCTAAGGATCTGAGGTGGAACTTGTTGGCGGTATCTGTCGTTTTCACCACGGTCCTCTCTGTGTTCGCATCGTCACCAGCCCTTTTCTTCTTCTCAATCTTCACTGGCATATTTTGGCATGTCGGACTCGCCTCGGACCCCCCGAATCACTACTCGGTCGCCGACCTTGTATCGAACATCATTGGCAAATACCTCCCTGCCATGTTCTGCGCGTGGGTCATGTTTGACAAGATGGGAATTCGACGAACGCTCAACGGGCTCACTGCCCAGGTGGAAAAGACGGTCTTGTGGCTTGGCGGTTGCTGGGTTGGGGCCCTGACCAACTACACCTTCAACTTCATTCCGATTCAGCGTCTGAATGCGCATGATCTGAACCAGCAGCCGGGAGCAAAAGCGGCATTGGCCATCATCATCATCGTCTTGGTGGTGATCACCGCCAAGCAAATCTGGTATTTCAGACATGAAGGTCGTCTCCTGAAATACCTCAAGCTGTACCTCCTTTTTGTGGGGGGCATCATTGTATGCCTTGTCCTCCCAGACCTGAGTCTACGCATCCACCACTACATCCTGGCCTTGCTCTTGCTCCCGGGCACTAGTATGCAGACCAGACCTTCACTGCTCTATCAGGGCATTTTAGTCGGCCTCTTCATCAACGGCATCGCCCGCTGGGGCTTCGACGCTCTTCTCCAAACACCTGCCGCCCTCCAAGGCGACGCCCAGCACGGGTCGGTCTTGCCCAGCATCCTCCCACCCGTCATCGACCTGGGTCAAGCTATGTGGAGCATCAACTTCACTTGGGCTATTCCTCCCGATGGAGCGCGATACGACGGCATCAGCGTTCTGGTCAATGATGTGGAGCGTTTTCGTACCTACTTTGATGACGGGCCCGTCCCTCCAACGAGTTTCCTCTGGAGCCGCCAGAGTGATCTCGGCATGAACGAATACTTCCGTTTTGGATTCATGGAAGGCAGCGAGAGCTACGACTTTACTAAAGCTGGCATTTGGAACGCGGAAGGTAAATGGATAGACATGCAGCCGGGCCCCTCGATGATCAGGGGTCGGTCACTGGTAGACGATGACGAGAGCGTGCTGCGGTGAATTTGATGCGTGATGATCTTGCTTGCTTTAGATATCTAGATTAGCGTATGAACATTGAATACCAGAGTCATTCACTATCGCGACTTTTTATTCTGAGCACATGGATTTGAGCAAAAGTTTGACTCTCTCGATTGCAATGGTATCTCAATGTTAACGATAACACGCTACCCGAAGAGAAAATCCCAAAGGCCGCTCAGATTACTCCTTCAGCAACACCATCAACCCTTTACGCTCCCTGTCTGCGGCGGCACAGGGGACGACCACGCTCAAGCGTGTTCGGGTCGCAATCCAACCTATTGTCCTCGATACAAGTCAAACTCGAGCCGCCTACCCACGTCACCAGTCATTAGCAAACCGGGATTCTAATGAAAGATACCCCACAAGGAGAGAGACAACTTACAGTTGTTGATGCTATCGGGGACGCAGCGGCCAGTCTGGCCGTTGACGTTGCACACGTCCTGCTTCAAGCTCGTGTTGGCAACGCAGCAGGCGCCGTTGGGGACGGGACGATTGGCGTTTGCGCCCTGGCGTTCCATCAGGAGGACGTCGCGGCGGGCTGCGGCCGAGGTGGGGTCTTCTACGGCGGCGGCGCTGGCGCTGATGGCCATGGTGAGGGCGAGGAGGGCGGTTTGGAGTGTGAACTTCATGGTGTTTTGGATTTCTGGTATTGGATTTGGGGTATCTAGCGAACTGATGAAGTGAGGGACTGTGTGGTATAAAGTTATGTTACAATGAAAATGTGAAAAGAATGTCCGGCCGGCGGGAGAGAAGCAGAAGAGACTGAATTGTGGTGATGGAATCGGAGACAGTATAGGAAATATTGGACGAGCGAGTGTGGCTGTTATATATATTTGCTTAGAGCTGGAGCATGAGGCCCGATTAAGCTTCCCCCTCTTAACTGTCAAGTCTATAATCCAAAAAGGTGGCCCACGATGTGTCAAAACGAACACCTCCTGAGTTCAGCCGGCCACTCTCAAACAAGCGAGCAACTTGACGCGAGGAGACCGAACTATTCGGATTTTGGTTCCCAGGATTTGCCGACGGGATGAAGAGAGATCTATGCAGCATCCTGACAAGGAATGGGGGCCTGGTAACTCTCTGCCCGTTCTCGGCTGAGCCAGCCGCAAGCAAATAGAAGGGCAGTCCCCCCCTCGCTTGCGTCTGAGCCGTACCCCGAAGCATAAGTCTTGAGCCTCAAGAAGGGATGGGAATGAGGAAGAGGACGAGGGAGCCTGTCGTCTCATGCAACATCCCCAAAGGGATCGAAGCCAAAAGAAGCTCAAGTACGGATGAGACGAACAGGGGGGGGGAGGGAGGCTCATTTTGGCAGCCTCTCGTCACAAAGTACAATGTACAGTCCGAATATGGGTTAGTCTAAGGGGTGTGTTCGGGAGATGCGGCGACGATGTGACGGTTTGGGGGTTTTGCTGTGTAAGATAGTGGGGACTTTTTCGTCTGGAGAGTTGATGAAACGTGTAAGAGCCAGGGGGTGGGGGGGCATCGTGGGCTTTCCTTCCCCCTGCCTCTCAGCGGCTCGTCGTCGGTAGAAGAAGCCGAAATTTTGGGGGAGGCGCAACAAACCGATTTGAGAGTTGGGTTTTCCTGCGATGGAGGAGGAGAGAATAGACTTTGGGAGTCAGCTCCTGTAAGTGGGCTAACTAGGGGCGTTGAGATGAGAGTACAGGAATACGCATTCTGAAATCTTTGTTGATTACTACGACGAGTGACTAGGTTGGAGAATTGTTACGAAGTACCGTGAGTGTACAACATGAGACTGAACAAGCAGAGTTTTGAGGAAACGTGGTCTAGAACATGTTGGTGATCGGAAGGATCTGCCGAGTCTCTCACGCATCGCGGGGTATTGTTCCAGTGACATCCATTTGATCCACCAAACAATACACATGCCCGCTGAATACCGTCTGATCGCAGATAGCTTGCAGATCGTCTTCGGACTTCAATGGCCTGGGAGTTGTGGGGATGTACTCATTTTCATGAGTCTTAAACCGCCTGTTCCAAGATCTAACTTGGGAACAAGGTTCTGACATCTCAAGAGTGCTTCGAGGAGGTATTCGGAAGAAAACAGATTTCGTGGCTCGACTTTTCACATCCAACGACAAGATATCCGTGACTGATCCAGTTGTGTGGCCTTGAGACAGAATCAACCAACGAATTGTCAATCTTTGGAGTCGCGACTAATGAGCGGGTGTGCAGTGAAAGTCTCGACGGGCGCAACTACACGATAGAAGCACTGTCACTCTCCGATACAAGCTCGGGCATTGCAGGAAGATTGGTTAAAAGTTGTTTAAACATTTATTGAGAAATTTCCTCGCGAGTCACCAGAGCCCAAAGCGAGTACTACACCAACCCCACCCGCCTAGCCGGCTCCATTAACCCCGACCTCCTCTCTCTGTAAGATAAGTGAATTGCTTCACTCCTCATCCTCCTCGCCAGCGGCAACCTCATCAGCAACCTCGGCAACCTCAACAGCCTTGCTCGCCGTCTTGGTTCCCTTCTTACCTGTGCCCTTCGCCCCAGCGGCGCCAGCGTTTCCTCCGGCGGCCTTGATGGACTGGTCAACCACATCATCGGCCTTTGTGCCAAGGGCATCATCCTTGGGCACCTCGGTGGCGGCCGGGTTGTCGGTGGAGGCGTTGAACTTGAGGGCGGTCGCGGGCTTGCCGGTGTTGGCGACGTCGTCGGCAATGTTCTTGTTGAGCTTCTTGGTCTCCTCGTCCAGCTTGGCCGTCACGTTCTTGCCCTGCGCCTGCTGGGCTTGTAGGCCCATGACGGTGGCCGTGAGCTTGAGGACCTTGTTCTGGATCTTTGCGCGCTGTAGTGTGGGGAGATGTGTGTTAGTAATTTGATCAAATGGTAGTCAAGTAAGTGAATGGGGGCAGAAGGGGATCTTGATATCTTACCTGAAGAGCCAGAGCATCCTCGCCGGGTGCCGTCTTTGCGATTTCCACATTGTACGCGCCGCGTTCGGCTTGGTTGGCAATCTTGTTGACGTTGTTGAGGAAGGCCAGATCCGCCTTGTTGACGGTGGACAGGTCCGTCGGCAGACCGCTCAGCTTCTGGAGGGCGTCCTTCTTTGCGGTGCCGGCGTTCTTGCCACTGATGGACAGATCATCAAAGGTCTTGGCCGTCGCGAACACGGCGGCACGCTTCTGAACCTTGCTGTTGGACGAGGAGGAGATGTCCCGGGAGGGGGCGGCCGAGGCAACGGCGACGAGAGTGGTGAAAACGGCGGAGAACTTCATTTTGTCTCGGTGTTTAGGGGTTTGGAATAGTTTATAAGAAAAGAGGGAAATAATAGATTAGAATGTTTCTTGAGCGAAAGACGGGTTTGTTGGAAACGACAGCACAGCTGTGGAGAAAAGAAAAGTGAAGGTATCGAAACTGAGGCAATAGAGATTGAGTTGATGAGAGAGCTGGGTATCCGAATAGCCGAAGCGGCGGGATGTCTGACGATCTTATTGTTGCAGTGGAGGCCTTTCTTCTATCACTGCCTTACCTACAACCCGACAAGCCATCTCAATGTTGTCTCTCCATCCATGGAAGAGCATTGATGCTATAGAACGAACGTTCGGCGGCGCCGTCGGAAGTGTCCAACTCTCGTCAGCGTGTAACGATTCCCGCCCCTCCTCCTTTTATTCGAAGAGAGGCAAAGAGAACAGCGAAGAAGCAGGGCTGGCGGCGGGCGCGGAGGACGTTTCAGGGTGAGATCATTCCGTACTGGGGTCTACGGATAATCATCTTGTACAAACATAGAACGGGTCTTCTATTGCTTTGTAGCGCAGAACACTCATCGAAAGAGTGGGAGACTGGGGGAGGAAGAGAATCTACAAAGGGCCTGGAAACCTGACAAGCCGTAACCACACTCGTGGGCCGTCCCTCTGGATGTCTAAAGACGCCGGTGCCGGGGCCTTCCCTGCCCAGAACGGAGGCTGAGCCTTAATGCCATCCCCTCCACGTCGAGTCGTCTTGGGTGTCGTCTCATGATGTGATGACGACGAGTAAGGTACAGAAGTTGAGAGAGTGTGAGAGGAAGGATAACATGAGGAGGGCAGTAAATGGGCCTCGAGTCAACCAACGTGCTTTGCTGCGACGAACACGCAACCACTCGGTCAAGGGCAACCTGCCGCCGCCTGAACTGTGCGGGAAGATTGCAGGACAGTCAGCACGGAGTGCTCTGAGGGAGATTGTGCGCCTGACGGCAGTGCTGAAGTGCGGCTCCCGCACCTGAGAGAGGAAAGAAAAAAGTCAATCTTGAGACGAGTTTTACTGATGTTTTTGACAACCTGAACCTTGAAGAAGAGACGAGATTGGTGTCTGTGTGATGGGCAGCTTGAGCGTTCGAAGGTCAAGACGTAGTCGGAAGAAGGGGGAATCGGAGACAGCCTCTAGGTCTCTTCAAATCCACCAGAAGGATCATTGTCTAGATCTCTCCCCATATTCCACGTTCTGCATGTCCTTGAAGGAAGTAATTATGGATAGATTGTAAGGTTATTGGCCTCCCCATATTACATGCTCACGGGAAACATACGGTAAGCTAAAAAATAAAATAAAATAGAAAAATTGGGGAGACGGGAAGGGAAATGAATGGAATCGGAATCAGCCCTGCGGTGATTGTCAGCATTGAGAGGCTGAAGATTGTTAATCTATCACACATGGCGTTTGAAGCTTGAATTCCGTCGGAGAAAAGTGGAGAATATTGGTTATTTTCTGCCTATGAATTTCCGCATTCCTCTCCTCCACTCACACAACACTCTCACTCGTCACTACGTGAGCAAGAAAAGCTCGTGTCACTGAGAGTTCAGAGTTCAAACTCCCAGTGTGAGGAGCCGAAAGTCCCGCCCCACTTGGAGATAACCTCACCTACTCTGACTGACTGCCCGCCTAACCCATCCATACACCTATTCCTGTCCACCTCACACGGTCAACACCTCACCAAGCCAACCCAGCTTGTAAACACCACACATACGCGGCTTCTCGGACTTTATTCCCTCTCATCGCCCTTTATCAAATCCCGGCCGAAAGAAAAGTCCAGAACACCAGGGTGTACTCTCTCTCTCTCTCTCTCTTCCTCGCCTGATTACTCAACGCAACCCGTTCCCCGAGAACCGCAGACTTTCCACTCACACTCAACCTAAACGCCAAGAAACACCTCCAGACTCACATCCACAACCTAGACAAAAAACAAAAATCCCCCAATCATGCCTCCCCGGATCCCAACCCCAGAAGACTTCACTCAAGTCCAAAAACTCCTCCCCCTAACCCTAGCCTTCCCAAACCCCCCAGAATCTACAACCGCAATCCTCCTCCTCTTCCACGGTCTAGGCGACTCCGAGGCCCCCTTCGCCTCCTTCGCCCGCGCAATGTCCCTCCCGGGCGTCCTCTCCATCTCCCTTCGCGGTCCCTCCCCGCTACCCCCATCCATGCTGCCCGACAATGATGGCTCCGTAAACTCCGCCGCCGGCGCACCGGGCCACTTCCACTGGGGCGACGACATCACCTTCGACCCCTCCACAGACGCCCTCGCCACAGACCCAGGCTTCTCCAAATCCTCCACCCTCGTCGTGGACCACCTCATCCGCGACACCCTCATCACCCGCTGCGGCTGGGAGCTCAGCGACATCATCCTCTTCGGCTTCGGCCAAGGCGGGTCCCTGGCCTTGGGCATCGCATCGCAGCTCCGTCTCGGCCCAAAAGTCGTAGACGTGACGAATCTCTCCTCTAGTTCCTCCACCACTGCTCCTACCGCTTCTGCATCGAAACCAAAGAGGAACGACAGCCACTTTGACGAAAACACGCTCAAAGGCGTCCTCTCCATCGGAGGCCCTCTACCGCCCTCCATGGTTCCCACAGTCAGCGCGCGGGGCAAGTGCAAGACGAAAGCGTGTCTCGTTCAACTTGACGACGACGTCTTTGATGCCGTAAAGGAAGAGTTCCTCGACGTCAGGCTCGTCAAGTGGAAGAGGAAAGACGTGGCTATGCCTCGTGATCGGGAGGAGATGTTCCCCCTCATGAAGTTCCTTGCGGAATGCCTCAAGAGCGGTTGGTGAGGCGGTCTCGAGTTCGATGCGGTACAATCAATTACATACACTCAGACTTGACCAACCAACGATTCCTCAGCGTCGACCGCACCGATGGATGATGGCAGGCCTAAATCTAGCTTACCAGCTGAGAGATGAGCTTGGGTGGCTGGCACACAGAGCGGTGACGCAAGGTTAGTCTTCGTTCCTGAACATATGGAAACTTGGACACATGTCACTCTTCATGAAATCGCGTAAGCTTCAAAGTGGTAATGAGCATACGGGATACTAGCTATTGACTGTTGAAAAACGCCTCTGAGGATCGTGGCTACGGACTATAATCATAAGGCTATTCAATGGTTTGATTCCTTTTCTCAATCACCTCCTGTTCACCGCCAGAGATGTAGTCGAATTAACGTCATCAATTGCGCGTTGATTGCAACGGAGCCGGTGCTGTCGAAGCACGGCCAATGTCTCCTAATTGGTGGGGGTTCGGCTTCTGGTTCTCGGGTGCTGCGCTTGATTGTATTGCGTGTTGCTTTGGTTCGCCTTCGTCAACTTTCACCGTGGGATCTCCGCTGAGAGCGTGCGGAGCTGGCTGGCCCTGCATACCAACCGTATGGTCGTCGTGGACACTGTGGGGTACTGCTTGTGTACTGACTGGCGCCATGATATCCTGGCTGAGCCTATGATCGTGTACAGGAGCGGCCGTCTTGGTAGTCAAGTCATTGTGTACCGTGTGCTCCGTTGGCTCTTCAGCTACATTGACGGTGGGATCCTGGTGAACACTGTGAGGGAGACTGGCAGTCGGTGCTGCTGTCTTGGGATCTATATTGATCTGATGAGGGGAGAGCCGTCGAGCAACTTGAACCATGGGGTCCTCGTGGACAGTATGCGGATGGACCTCCTCAGCAATTCCAAAAAGAGGATCATTGTGAACGGTATGCGGGAATTGTCTGTTTCCAACTGGCCTCTTTTGGTCTTGACTGAGCCGATGGGGCTCAGCGAAGTCAGCCACCGTGACGCGGGGATCTTGAGAACTCAGAATCGGACTCTGACTTTGCTGGGTGTCCGGAGTTCTCGCAGGAGTGTGTTTGTTGCTGGTAGGAGGAGGCAGTTGCTGGGAGCTGGCCTCCGGGGTAGCCTTTGCCGGCGGGCTTTGTGGCTTTGCTCTCTCCTTTGAACTGCCGGATTCTGGCAACTCGACGATTCTTGGTAGGCTCTTTTCCTTCATCTGCATTTGCGCGGGCGACTTATACGGGTGGTTGGGCTGAGACTTGAAGCGACGAATCTCAACTGGTGGAGGTCCTGGCGAAAAAGGGTAGGTATTGTACTTTTTACATATTTTCTCCCGTATCAGGACTTCGTTATGATTCCCCATGAGAGTCCAGAATGGGTGAGCACAGGCGTGAAGCTCGTCGTCCTCGGTGCTCCCCGTGATGGCATATCGATTCCGAATGTCACCACGTTGGTTGCTGAGTGGCCTCCTCCAGTTGCACACTACAGCAGTCAGAAAATGCCCATCAGTTATTCAAGATATTTTCCTTACTCATAGAGCTCAGGAAACACGACCAACATGGACTGCTGCAGCCACCTGAAGGTGGAGTCAAGGGGTCCTCGCCGTAGGCAGCTCGCTCGAGTCTCTCGGCGGTACGAGCATACACCACGCATGGGCATAGCACCGCTTCTGTAGTGGCCTCTCGTTGCTTTGCCAGCCAATTGTGCGATCGGACCTGTCCCATGATGGGCTTCTTGTCTGACTGCTGCCGATGAACTGTCTCCGTTGAGTTGTTCTCGCGCCTCCGTTGCCCTGCGCTGCCGGATGCTCGCGTGTTCTTGGGTCGATCCATGTTGGTCTGAAGGTGAATAATGCAATCTGACGAGGATAGTCGATGATATGAATGACGTCCAACGGTAGACCTGAGTAGCCAAGGTGGTAGACGATGGCTGGTTTCTAGAAGGTTAGATGGATGATGGAAGTTAACGAATGATGTCAGTCTGTGGTATGGGGGGGACTCTGAGAGGAAAAGGACAAGTGCTTTCTGGCCGAGTCCCAAGCAGGCAGGGAGCACTGGCATAATGCTGAAGGTTGTCCCTTCCCGGGTTGACGTCGCTGCCGCGGTCTCTTGCCAGAAGTATGCAAGAGGTGAGCTCTTGAACCAGACCAGGCGTGGCATGCACACGAGGGGTTGCTTTCCGTCACTGATACAGCTCGTTCGTGGTGGAATGAAGCAGCAAGATTGCAAGCAAGCCTGACCGTGCGCGCTTCAAATGCATGCCTTCTCATGACAGTAAACAATTCTCACATCAATGGATTGTGCAAACCAGTAAACCAGCACCGCTACGATGACAACCTCGATATCGGGGATGGTAGTACAACATTGATCGTTCTAATTGCAGTGAGCCAACCCAAACGTGGTGGTATCCACGGACGGCTCCTGTCGCCTCACTCTTATACCACAACCCAGAATGCGCCATGTCACTATAGTATGTTGATGCAGAGGGTTTATTTCCGTTCCGATTCCAAGCCTGATCTACGCCGCCTTGAGTCGAACCGCGGTTTCCTATTCCTCGGCACGCTCCTCATCCCTCCAGCCATTCGAACTTCGGGAAGCGCCGTTATGTAATGATCTGAGAGCTGTGCTCCGAGTCTTGTTCGACCATCTACGCGAGGTTAGCGGATAGTAGACCAGAATGCTATTGCAGACTCACATCTTGACCTTGCCGTCGTCGCCACATGAAGCCAACATGCAAGGGTCTGCCGGATTCCAGGTAACGGCGTTGGTCCGAGGCTGATGCCCTTCAAGCCTCTCCACTGCAGCACCGCTATTCTTGTGCCAGATGAGGATGTTTCCATCTGAATGTAGTTCGTCAGTGTTTGCCAGCATCAAATCAATCGCTCATCACGTACCCTCACTGCCGCTCACAACGAAGCTCTCGTTTGCGCCGCCAAAGGCACTCCGAATTATGAAGTCGCCTCCAGTGTGACCCAGGAACTTCTGAACTGATGTCCGATCAACCAGATCTATCAGTTGCAACTCGCCATCCTTTTTGTTAAGTAGCAAATGACGTGAGTCTTCGCTGATACTCACGCACGTTGGCCGAGACTTGACCTCCATTTCGTACTCCAGCTCGCGTGTGAAGGCATTGTAGACATGAATCTTCTGTTCATCGTCGACAGCCACGAGCCAGTGGCCATCCGGAGAACCACAGATGTCCTGAACTCTATGCTTCTTGCCCCATTCGCACATCATCTCGCCAGAGATACTCCACGTACGCAACCCGTGTTGCTTGTCTAGAGATCCGGTGACAAAGGTCTTGCTGTCTGCTGCCCATACGCAGCCACTTGCAGGCTCCTCAAATCGATCCAGCTTCAAAACCAACTCTCCGGTCTAAGAAGATATTAGCACTAGGACCGAGGGAGACACTGCTGGAATTACGCACCGCGGTATCCCACAGTCTAGCATACTTGTCCTGTGAGCATGTAACGATCATGGAGTCGTCGGGGCTCCACGATAGACCGCCGACACCCTGAGCATGCGGTCGCAAGATTTGAGAGACCGAGAAAGAAGGCAAGTCCCAGATGACAACAGCTTCGCCACTTCCGCAGGCAGCCAGTCGCTGGCCGTCGTGAGAGAACAGGACTTGCCAGACTTCGCCAGTCAAGTCTGTGAGCTCTAACGCGACGTCAGTAGGGAAGTGACTCCGTTCACAATAGTGATCCGAGTATAATGAAGGAGATGATGCGGTTGTGTGCCAGAGGCAGCTGTCTATTTGACTTTGCTTCACCTGCTGTAGAAGGACTGCAAGGCGATTCTCCGGCAGCATGACCGAGGGCGAAATGCATTCTAGCCATGTATAAGTACTCTGTATGTCACTAGAGGCACTGGAAATACTCACTGGACAGTTCCGACAGCAGAACCTTTCTCGACTGGCCGTGCGCACCATCCCACTCGGCTTTAGCCTTCAAGTCTTCTGTAGACTGGCACATGAGAAGACTAGAGAGGAAATGAAGTTTCTGAGTATCTTGGTATAGCGGCGTCAGCTCGGTCCGCAGCACCATCAGAGCCCGTGGGGTATCTCGCTGCTCCAACAACTCGAGAAACTTTTGTTGCCGCAGCCAAAATCGCATGACGTTTCGGTCAGAGCCAGGGGCCAAGACGAGACCGTTCCCGGGTTGGCTTCGGTCCTCAGACATGACTGCTCCGAAGAGCAGTTCTTCGGCCTCGCCCCAATCGCCGCTCACGACTGCACTCCGAAAGGCGGCGACCGTCGGGCTCTCCAGCTCGTAGCCGCTATCTTTGCTCACACTCTCGGCAGCGCCCTGATATCCCATGTCGGACAGAGCCTGTATGAGTATGCGGGTGACCTCCTCGCGATCATGTCCATAGTAGGTCGAGGGAACGGGTGTCTGAGCTTCCTTGTCGGAACGGGATGACCCGTTCAAGGCAGCGGCTTTACGAGCACCGTTTGTCGCGGAAGCCGTCAGCGGCGCTTCCGTCCTCGCACCGTTGGAGTACGTCCTCGACGTTCCATTTGAGGCAACTCCATCGCCGTCTGAGATCATGTTGGAGTCTCCTCTTCTGCGTTTTGAGCGATGTGAGCCGGGTCGACTGACGGCCGCGGACGTCGTAGGAGAGTCTCCCCGGTCCGCGTCGGAAGCTCTTCGTCTACGGCCCAAGACCTGACGGGGCGCCGAGGGAGATGCTATCGCTTCGGGGACAGTCGAGGGAAGTTGGACGGCGCTCGGTTGGAAGGGGATCGAAGTTGTAGAATCGTCAGAAGAGGAGGGGCGGGAAGCCGCGGGGGCTTGGGTTAGAACTGCGGTTGAAGATGTCTGGTCCGGCGGGGTGGGCACTTGTTGGTTGGCTGGAATAAGATGGGAATTGGAATCCGGATTGTAGTTGGGGTCCAGGTCGGCCTATGTTACCGCGGGAAGGCCCCGCGGTTGCTCTCGTCGGTCGATATCTTGGAAGGGACGGCGACGCCTAGGTTATGATAGGAATGTTGTGGCGAGTGCTTTGTCGCTAGGCGTTTAATTAGAGAATAGCTCGAGAGAGGGTCGTGGTGCGGACGCGGATGCGGACGGACGGACTTGTGGGCGTACGGTGCGGTAGGGCGAAGCAGATAAGGTGCGTGAGATGGGAGGACGAGGTCTGGGAGCTGAGGGGAGGTGCGTGAGGAGGGAAAGAGGGAGAGGGAGAGAGAAACGTGGGCCGTGGGACGTAAGGTAGTGTAAGATGGCAGGTGAAGCTTTGAAGTTTGGAGTTCATGGGTGCAGGTTTCGGGGTTGCTAGATGGCAGAGGTCATATGGAGGTAGACGTCTCCTTGCCTTCCAGGATCCATTACCTCAGTCCCGGTGATGGGTTGTACTGTACTCTGTAAGGTAGGTATCCGTAAGGTAGGCGCATGTGTTCGTTCGGTAGCACAGTACCTCTGCAGACGCAGCGTTCACTTGCCGGGGAAGGTCGTTACCTAGGGTAGCCTCCCCAGAAGAGACCCGTGGCCGGCTGCGGCGCACTGCTGCAGCACCCTGACTGGGCAAACACTGGGACAAGCGGGCAAGCAGATGACGAGATGCCGCTTGATTGGACACCCGGCAATTTCTCAGCGCATAAAGGTGGAGACGGATGACCTGCTTGCTGGGGTGGTTGGAGGACCGACTCACTAAACGCAATCTAGGACAGTGAAGTTCACTAACACACCACTCTAGACCACACAAGAACACAAGAAGGATCCCAATCTACCTTACCTTAGTGGGGGCTATAGTAGGTCCGCGAGCCTTAAGTAGTAGTAAAAGCCCCGCTCCGTTTAATAAACATGAAATTAGAATAACTACGCCTTATCTAATAGTAAGAACTTTTACTACCTAAATAAGCCTTATAGATAATAGTCTAAAAATATATTACATTATAAAAAGTAAAATTCTAATAAATACTAAAATTTATACTAAAATTGCAATTAAAATCCTTAATAAGATCCTTATTATACTTTATATTTGAATTTTAAAATTAACTATATTTAACTTTTATTTATTTAACTAATTATTTAGATATTTAATTAGGCTATCTAATATTAAAGCTAACTACTTAAAATTTAAATACGATATATAACTAGTTAATTAATTTGTTTAATTAATACACTAAGAGGTTAGAGGTAGGCAAAAAGGGAAAAGGTAAATAAGTTGAAATACGAGTTGGGATAATCAGAGAATCAATTGTATTGATGATTATTCTATGATATGATGGGAAAGTGTAGTCTATATATAATATAAATATTACATGTAATTATATGTAATCACATGTAATCACATGTGATGCTTAAGTCCGAGCATTTATTATTAAGTTTATACGGGCATATGTGCTTGTCGGCGCTTTAACATGTATATGTAAAGCGTATTTACGTTCGGGCTGTACGTGGGTACAAAGCGTTGTATCTGAGTAGATACGTACTTCAGTTGAGCCTCTTATTACCATGTAACTTCTTGAGCACGTAACTCTTATAGTACTACTTAGAATATTTACTGAAAATTCTAAAACTTATACTTGATTAGTACTATAAGAGCTACGTACTTAAGAAGTTACATGGTAGTAAGAGGCTCAATGTTACGCCCGCCGCAACTTGTCACTGTGAGCGCGTAGCCACATAACGCAGAACAAGGGAAAATGATACGGAGTCATCATTATCGAAGCTTTTGCTTTGTGCCACAGTTGGTTGCCTTGATCTGCTCGTAACACTCAACCGAAGTACGTATCTACTCAGATACAACGCTTTGTACCCACGTACAGCCCGAACGTAAATACGCTTTACATATACATGTTAAAGCGCCGACAAGCACATATGCCCGTATAAACTTAATAATAAATGCTCGGACTTAAGCATCACATGTGATTACATGTGATTACATATAATTACATGTGATATTTATATTATATATAGACTACACTTTCCCATCATATCATAGAATAATCATCAATACAATTGATTCTCTGATTATCCTAACTAGTATTTCAACTTATTTACATTTTCCCTTTTTGCCTACCTCTAACCTCTTAGTTCTCTTTACAGTTATCAACCTCTTTTATATACGCTTAACTACCCCTATATTCATATATTCTTGCTTCTATATGAATATTCACAATTTAATACTCTTGTATAAGAGTCTTATCACTTACCTCTTAAAGCTATCGTGCCAGAGAATTAAATTTTAAAACTTTATATTCAGTTTAGTAATTCTTATCAAAGACTAATTAAGTAATTTGAACATTATATAATCAACAATAAAAAAGATATTAATTATATAATGTAGGCGATTTAGTATACAATAAGAAAATGCGTGGCTGATTGGTGAACCACGTTACTCCTTATATAAATTTATATAATAAGAATTTTAAGATTATAGGTTTTATTAATCTAGTAAAGATTACTAATATAGTGCCCCTTCTAAGTCTTAGCGGCCCTTCTAGTACTTACTAAGCCGTATAGGAGCGCTAGGACCCCCCTAAGGTACCTTACCTTGAATGATCTTACCGAGTATGAACACAAGAGAGGGAAGAGGGTCACATGCTCAGCTAGTGTCTCTCTCATGAATCAGTAGGCTTGAAGGGCGGTTTACAAGAGATGATCTATAACGTCTTCTCGGTACATATGGCTGGGAGAATACCCTACTGTCAGAGCTTTGAGGACGGGAAGCTTATTAGTCGGCTCGGTGGGTATCTCTGAGAGAGCTGAGGTTGGGTTACCTGTTAGTGGCACCTGAGTAACATGACAGCAGTACACTTTCGAGACTTTCCAAGATGGCAGTAGTTGCTGTCGTCGACATGACGAAGTGTTCATCTTTCAAAGTGTATCGGTACAATGTATTACCCATATCGAAAGTGTGGATGAACATGCAGTCTGCGGTCTGCCGTCTTGATCGAGGTTGCATGTCGCACTGCCGGCCACTAAAACGCAGCTGCCAGAAAGGCTCAAACGCATGGACGCCTTATTAGAGTGGTCTAGCTCTGTACCGCTTCCTTATCGCCATTCGTCCTTTCGGTCCGGGCGTTGGAGCAACGAACTCTTGTCCAGATGGTATGCAACTTGCTGCAGTATCTTGCGTCTGTCCGTAGCTGCAGAAGACTGAGGGAGGGTTGATTCGAACCTACTTACCCAGTTGCCAGGCAATTCATCAAAACTCTTGAGGAAGACCTGGTAGATAGTCGTCGTTTTGTTGATTAGACTAAACTGTGGAAGAACACATCGACTTTCGCTCGTGGCAAACTTAAGCTGAGGTGCATATACTGTTTGGTGAGTTGGCTAAGGAAACTTCCTAATATAGCTGAGGTCGGTAGGAAGGAATAACCAGAGAAAGAAGACGATGACAATGAAAGCTGAAAGTGACTAAACTCCGAGCAGCTCTGAACTTTGCGTATTGCGATCCATACTACTCGTCAGCGTCAATACTATTTCAAATGCTACTCGTATGGCACTTGCGCGGCACAAGTGACGTACGCTTAGGCACCGATTTCTTGTTCCAAAATGTCTAAAGGTGTGAGAAGGACGGTGTGCGGTGTACCATCGGTGTGCTGCCTACACAATCAAGGTGTGCTAGGAGCTGTGCCCGGTGTAGGCGAACTCGTCACGTGTAACACCTGTGCCCAAGTGGGAGAAGTGGGAGGTCGCCTGCCAGCCCAACGCCCCGCCAAATGCTGTCTCGCTGCTGCTGCTGCTGCTGTTGTTGTCGGCAGAGTGACAGGGGGCTACGACACCGGTGGGGACCGGGGGCATGTGGCTGGTGCGTCAGGGATCCCAGGCACACTCAGTCTCGGAGGGCAGCAGCAACGTGTGTACCAAGTACGGGTAGGCTCTTGACATCTGTGATCTGGGCTCGGTGCTTGCGACGTCCTCTCCCACCATCCCTCAACCAAAAACACCTGCAAACTTGCAACTTGCACGATACCTCACACCTTTGCTGATATACATACCCGTCGACGCCGACACAAAGGGAGTGCTACAACTGCCCTCGATTCGATCTGCGCTCCGGCCATCTTCCTCGCCTCTGTCTCGAACCCCAACCCCCCTTTCCGGGAGCTTCCACGTATTGCGATTCAGGAGCCATCTGCGACACTACTCTCGACAAAGAAGTCTGTCCTCGACTCAACCCTCTCCTCTGCCCAAACCCACGACCACTACATCTCCCAAAACTCCCAGGCCGCATCGCAACAATGAGCGCGCCCCCCGCTTCCAGCCAAGGTGGTATCTCGGATCCCGCCTTGATCACGTAGGTGATACCCAACAACCCCTCGACCCCTCGACGCACTTTGGAAGCTAACTATGCGCTGCCCCTCAGCCTCGTGAACAAGCTCCAGGATGTCTTCACAACGGTTGGCGTCACCAACCCTATCGATCTCCCTCAAATCGTCGTCGTTGGTAGTCAGTCTAGCGGTAAGAGTTCCGTCTTGGAGAATATCGTAGGAAGAGACTTGTGAGTTTTGACAACCAACACCTGGCCCCGCCATCACATGTCTTCCAGCCCTTGAGGCATCTAACAACTTTAACCCGTGCAGCTTGCCCCGAGGTTCTGGAATTTGCACCCGTCGACCCCTCGTCCTACAGCTCATCAACCGTCCCGCGACTTCACAGAACGGCATCGAGGAGGTGGAAAACAGCACCGACAAGGCAGCCAACGCCGACGAATGGGGCGAGTTCCTCCATATCCCCGGCCAAAAGTTCTACGACTTCAACAAGATTCGCGATGAGATTAGCAGAGAAACGGAGGCCAAGGTCGGCCGCAATGCAGGCATTTCGCCCGCTCCCATCAACTTGAGAGTCTACTCCCCGAACGTTCTCACTTTGACCCTGGTCGATTTGCCCGGTCTGACCAGAGTGCCAGTCGGAGACCAGCCCCGCGATATCGAGCGCCAGATTCGCGATATGATTCTCAAGTACATCTCCAAGTCTAACGCCATCATTCTTGCTGTCACAGCTGCCAATATCGATCTTGCCAACTCCGACGGTCTCAAGCTTGCCCGCGAGGTCGACCCCGAGGGTCAGCGAACGATTGGTGTTCTCACCAAGGTGGATCTTATGGACGAGGGTACCGATGTTGTTGATATTCTGGCTGGACGCATCATTCCTTTGCGGTTGGGATACGTTCCTGTGGTCAACCGTGGCCAGCGAGACATCGATAACAAGAAGCCGATTATGGCAGCCCTGGAGAATGAGAAGAACTTCTTCGATAATCACAAGGCTTACAGGAACAAGAGCTCCTACTGCGGAACTCCCTACTTGGCTAGGAAGCTTAACCTTATTCTGATGATGCACATCAAGCAGACGCTGCCCGACATCAAGGCTCGCATCTCGAGCTCACTGCAAAAGTATGCTACCGAGCTGGACAGCTTGGGACCTAGCATGCTGGGCAACAGCGCCAACATTGTTCTCAACATCATCACCGAGTTCACAAACGAGTGGCGGACGGTCTTGGACGGCAACAATACAGAGCTTTCCAGCACGGAATTGTCGGGTGGTGCGAGAATTAGCTTCGTGTTTCACGAGCTATACTCCAATGGTGTCAAGGCTGTTGACCCCTTCGACGTGGTCAAGGATGTTGATATTCGTACAATCCTGTACAACTCGTCCGGTTCCTCTCCGGCTCTTTTCGTCGGCACCACTGCCTTCGAGTTGATTGTGAAGCAGCAGATCAAGCGCTTGGAAGACCCGAGTCTGAAGTGTGTGTCCCTCGTCTACGACGAGCTGGTGCGCATCCTGTCCCAGCTTTTGGGCAAGTCGCTCTACCGCAGATACCCTTCACTCAAGGAGAAGGTTCATACAGTGGTTATCAACTTCTTCAAGAAGGCCATGGAGCCTACCAACAAGCTGGTCAAGGATCTCGTGGCTATGGAGGCATGCTACATCAACACTGGCCACCCTGACTTCTTGAACGGTCACAGGGCTATGGCTATGGTGAATGAGCGCTACAACCCTTCCAAGCCCACTCAGGTTGATCCTAAGACCGGCAAGCCTCTTCCGGGAGGTACCCCTCGAGCGTCTAGCCCAGCTGTGCCCGAAGATGCGAATGGAGGCTTCTTTGGCAGTTTCTTCGCCGCGAAGAACAAGAAGAAGGCGGCGGCCATGGAGGCCCCCCCGCCGACACTCAAGGCTTCTGGAACGCTGTCAGAGCGCGAGAACATTGAGGTGGAAGTCATCAGTATGTCTCCAGTGTCCCACTTTACTCGAGAAACGCTAACCACGATACACAGAGTTGCTTATCTCTTCCTACTACAACATTGTGAGGCGAACCATGATCGACATGGTTCCCAAGGCCATCATGCTTACCCTTGTTCAGTAAGTAAAAACACTGGAGTTTGTTTGTGGCACCTTGTCAGCTAACAGTGGCAGATTCACCAAGGATGAGATGCAGAAGGAGCTCTTGGAGAACATGTATCGCACTGACACTCTGGACGACCTGCTCAAGGAGAGCGATTTCACCATTCGCAGAAGAAAGGAGTGCCAGCAAATGGTGGAGTCCCTTGGCAAGGCCAGCGAGATTGTCAGCCAGGTCCAGTAAAAGACGTCAAACGACATGCACAACGGCTTCTGAGAAGCACTCAAACTTTTGCCTGCTGAGATGCTGGCCGCCCCATGCTTCCGGGGCACGAAAACTAAAAAGAGCGCGGCGTTCAGGCGGTGAAATCTTCCCAAAATCGTCGGCGGAGACCCTGGAGGCGTGGAAGGCGGTAGACAATCGGACAGCGGCGGTTGCGGTGGTAGTCCTTTAATGAGAGTGGCATACATTTGTTTCTTGTGATGAAGACTGAATCAAGATGGCCAAAGAGGATATAGCAAGAGAGAGGCAGCAATGAAAGTCACGTTCCCAATACGCTTTTCCTGTTGCTATGCGATGCGCCTCCTTTTCAGTCGCAAGCTGTTCTGATTTAGCATGTGCTTGGTTTGCGACACTCTATGGGGCGTTATCGATCATGCTCTATCCGTACAGAATCAGACGATCTTTCGAGACGCACGTTCGTCCCTCGTAAGGGTCCGGCTGGCTGGCCGTTCGTTGGCTTTCGATTCAAGACTACTCCAATGTGATCAAGACCCCGGTGAATCATGCAATCAAACTTAACCTCCGCCTAGATTGGGATCTTCTGGTACTACTCCGTTTGGCCTGTGGAAGGAAAGCTGGCGTGGCTCCAGGCCCGGCTTCCGGATATGGGTGTCCAAGCGACTTTCATACTTTCAGACGCCAGCCACCATGGCATAAGAGATGGGCAGATGGGAGGTACGAATACGCCTTGGAGACACGCATGCATACGGCATTCGCCCAGTACTCGCTACCTACCGAACATCTCTTTTTTGGGTTGGTTTTTCACCTCATGTTACGTCGCGCTAGTGCGCAGGTTAGTGTTCCACGTTGGTCAATGCCTGCTTGCTGAGCTGGGTGAAACATTTCTCGGATAGCGGGGTGCATCAGGGTAGCTTCCGTGCTCATCTCCATTTCCCTTCTGCTTCCCCGCAGCATTGAATAGGAAAGCTTGAGCTCTGGGAGAGGAGGTCTAGAACAAGGTCTAGACGGAAAGGTCGGGAGAGGGGATGAGGAAAGGTACACGGTACACGGTACACGGTACACGGTAGTTAAGAGAGAGAGAGAGAGAGAGGGGGGGGGGGGGGGGGGGGGGTGGGGGGAGATGGTATTGATAAACTCACCGTGCCCTCCCTTACCTCCCCTTCGTTGTTCATTCCCACGCGTGCATCGTTCCATATATTCAACTGCAAACTTTCGACTTGCCAGAACGTCATCGACCGAAGACGCGGATATTAATTAGTGTCGCGTGGAACAACAGCTGCATAGCTTCCTCTGCCAGGCATAGCAGCCAAGAACCCAAAGCTTTCAACGAGGAACAAACCAGCAGGACAGAACAGCCGCAAAGATGAAGGTCGTAGACTTCGTCCGCTCTCAATTCAAGAAGCTCCCCTACCCATCCGACGACTGCGCGGGCCGCACCATCATCGTCACGGGCTCCAACGTCGGCCTGGGCCTCGAAGCGGCGCGGCACTTTGTGCGGCTCAATGCCGCCAAGGTGATCCTCGCCGTGCGCAGCACCGACAAGGGCGAGGCGGCCAAGACGGACATTGAGCTCACGACGGGCCGGCGCGACGTGCTCGAGGTGTGGCCGCTGGACCAGGCGTCGTTTGAGAGTGTAAAGGAGTTTGCGGCGCGCGCGGACAAGCTGCCGAGGCTGGATTTCGCGGTGCTGAACGCGAGTATCGCGACGAACAAGAGGGTTGATGCCGAGGGGTGGGAGAGTACGATTACGGTGAATGTGCTGAGCACATTCTTGTTGGGGTTTAAGTTGTTGCCGGTGTTGAGAAGGACGGGCAAGACGTACAATGTTACGCCCAAGATTGTGATTGTCGCGTCGGATGCGAGTCAAATGGTGAGTTTTTTTGTGATTTTTCTGACTTCTTCCTACCTCGACGATGTTTGGTCTCACGGAGATGTCATCCACTTACACGAAATGTGCCCGGGCAGGCCAAATTCCACGAACGCAACGAGGAGGACATTTACAAGGCTCTCAACACCAACAAGAGCCTGACGGACCGCTACAACACGTCGAAGCTGATGCAGGTGATCCTGGCGCGGCAGATGGCCATCGCGGCGGACGCGTCCGGAAAGGGGCGGGTGCAGGTGACGACGCTGAACCCGGGCCTCTGCTCGACGGCGCTGTTCCGCAACGTGCCGTTCCCGCTGACGATTGTCGTCAAGGTCGGGCTGAAGCTGCTGGCGCGGTCGGCCGAGGTCGGGTCGCGGTGCCTGACGGCGAGTGCGTTCGCCGACGAGGAGGCCCACGGGCGGTACATGAGCGACTGCGTCGTCGTGCGGTTCCCCAAGGTCATGCAGGGCGAGGAGGGGGAGCAGATGCAGGGGCGGGTGTGGGAGGAGACTGTGGAGCTGCTGAATGGGGTTGATCCTGGGGTTTCGATGAACCTTTGATGATGTGCTTTGGTGGTTGGTGACTCTTTTTTTCTTTCCGAAATGGACCATGGGTTGGACATGACGTTTTTGTTTGAGACAATAATTTGCAAGATACCTTTTTGAACATGCGAACTGGGAATTGCTTCGTTTCCTCGTGTAAGTGTACAAATACTCCGTCATGTACCATGAACGCTGGCAACCCCAACGTCATCTCCAAACTTAGAAGGACGTGGCCTAGGTAATGTGGAGGAGATACCCTCACCAATGCCAAATCATTGATTCTTTCCGGTACGGAGTACTTAAAAATGTGTACGAGAATGCTATCTTGCATGCAGAGTGTATGAAAGGCAGATCTTGGTATTTCGGGCTGTATAAATTGTATCACATATCATCCAGTTAGGAAGAATAAACTTCAATAAAGAGTGCTATATCCGTACCTACATTACCTTACTTGTGGATATGCACTATCCGTATGGAGTGCTGGGTCATCTCGAAAATGACAGAATTTCCCAGGAGAAATCCCAATCAAATGCATCCCATCCCATCGGCTCTTTGTTCATGGCCATTTCAAGCAACCACCTCACCTCGCCTTCAGGAACCCCACACCGAGTACATCATGCACCGGCAATAAGGTGCTCACCGACCCCACAGTAGCTCCCTCCCGTCCCGTGGCCCCCCGCGGTGCTAGGAGGTGCTTGTTTCCAGCAACTCCGACCACCCGCCCACAGGCGGACACTGCCTCGGCTTCTAGGGAGCTTCTCCAACTCAAAGTTTACCGGACCACGTCTTGGTCACAACTCACAACCGTCCGTCTTTATTTCACATTTCTGTAGCAACTTTCCATTTCCTCGACATGTATCTGTAAAGATTCCTCACAATACTAATATCATAGAAACAAGTACATAAAGATCTCGCCGTCATCTCAAGTCTCTTCATTCTCATTCTCATTTACATCCACCCATCATCATCATCATCTAAGTGAAATACCCCAGCAACAATGGTCGGCCCTCCGCCCCTAAAGGGCATCAAAGTCCTCGAATTCGCCGGCCTCGCACCAGGTCCCTTTGCAGGCATGCTCCTCTCCGACGCAGGCGCCTCGGTCCTCCGCGTCGACCGCGCCCTCGAGGGAAGCCGCACGCCCCTACCCACGGAAGACATGCTAGCCCGCCACAAGGCCTCCGTCGCCGTGGACCTGAAATCGCCCGCCGGCCTCGCCTTTGTCAAACGTCTCGCCGAAAAGGCCGACGTGCTCATCGATCCGTTCCGCCCCGGCGTGCTGGAGAAGCTGGGGCTGGGGCCCGAGGTGCTAGAGAAGGCGAATCGGGGTCTGATTTACGGCCGCATGACGGGGTTCCGAAGGGACGGGCGGTATAAAGATATGGCGGGGCATGATATCAATTACCTCGCCGTGTCTGGGGCGCTGAGCATGCTCGGGAGGGAGGGGGAGAAGCCGCATCCGCCGTGGAATATTTTGGCTGATTTCGCGGGCGGGGGGCGGTGCTGTTCCAGGGGATTTTGATGGCGTTGCTGGCGCGGGAGAGGAATGGTGGAAAGGGCCAGGTTGTGGAGGCGAATATGGTGGATGGGTCGGCGTACCTCGCCACGTTCCCGCGGTTCGCGCTCAAGAACCCGCTGGGGGACAATGGGCGCGGGAGGAACATGCTCGATGGAGGATGTCCGTATTACGACACGTACGAGACCAAGGACGGCAAGTACTTTGCGGTCGGGGCGCTGGAGCCGCAGTTCTTTGCGGCGTTCATCAAGGGGCTCGGCTTGGCGGGTCAGGGGTGGGAGGAGGAGAGGTTCGATCGGGAGAGGTGGGGGGAGCTGCGGGACTTATTCACCAAGATCTTCAAGAGTCAGACGAGGAGCGAGTGGGAGAAGGTGTTTGACGGGACGGACGCATGTTGTACGCCCGTGTTGGAGTATCACGAACTCGAGACGGAGGCGGCGAGGGAAGGGGACCAGAGGCCGGCGGTGACGTTGGAAGAGACGCCGTGTTTGGCTGTGGCGGAGGGCGAGGACGGGGATCCGAGACGGGGCCAGGGGCCTGGTGTTGAGGGGGGAGGGTATGTTGGCGTTCCGCTTACGCCTGGTGATGGTGGTGAAAAGGCGCTTGAGGAGTGGCTTGGGTGGAAGAGGGGGAGAGAGTTTGAGGTTCGGGAGGGGACGTGGGTGCTTAAAGAGAAGTCAAGGCTGTGAAAGAAAGGGTCGAAGATTGATGTTGTGTAAGTATGTCTATAATAGTTGGAGCATCCGGTAATCCAGCACGTCTCTATCACGCTTCACCTTTCTGGTGTCGTTCAACACGACCTGCTTGCTACCTAAGACCTTGTTCTCTCCACGTGAGATCTAGTCACCATGCATCTAGACACACCACGTTAGCATTCTTATCTTCCCGGTATCATATAACATTCCATTATACTGACCTTTGTCAATCATGAACCGGAACGTGAAGACAACGTGCTTCAACTCGGACTTGGTGGTGGGTTCGGCGGTGGTCGAGGAGAGGGGGGGTCTTTCCTCGACATGACCGAGCCAGCTGATTTATGTATCGCGTAGATACAAAGGCTCCAGGCGCTGCTCTGTTCAGCGTGTCAACCGATGATTCTGAGGCAGCGGGAGCTCTTTATCATACCAACGCTCTCTTGGATGCAAGTGCTTGTATTCAGTGACTTCTCGTAAACGTGGACATGCTAAATTTCCTAGAGACAACCCCGCGTGATATGCAATTGTAGCCCGTTTTATTAGAGGAAAGCTTTCCTAAGTAACCATTCCTTGAGCAACGTCGGCCTCTCTTCGCACACACTCAACCGCCCGACCACTGCACCCTCCCGTCCTGTTCCCTGACCGCCACTACTGCCTCTTCTTTTCTTCTTGTCGGTGATGAGGATGTAGTAGTTTGAGGTGTTTTTTTCTCTTGACCGACGGCACCTGTCCATATGTCGGAAGCCGTTCCCGCCTGCGCCGCCCGGGGAATAGGAAGTGTCACGCCAGGATGCCCAAAAAAAAAAGTGGCTGTCATCTGTCTGCTCTGCATCCCAGCCCGTCGGAACCCGACGGCTCGTGCTCCTCGGCAGGACTGAGGACTTCTCTGGACTTGCCTATCAGACTGAAGGGTTGATTGAACGTGGGGGAAATGGGTGGTGGCTCTCTGGTGCTGTGGCACTGCGTGTCTCTTGTTGTGCAGACTGTTTCCCGACTCACCGCCACGACTTATGGCTGTCACAGAGGATGCGGAAAAAGCAAGTTGACCCTGACACTATACGTACCGACATAGAGGGAGAAGGTCTGTGGTGCATGGCATGTTCTATTTCTGTATGTCGAAAACTTCCTACTTTTGATAGAGATAAGCCATTTACCTGGAGCCTTTGCGGACGTCCACCTAGCCACCAGTTCCTACTAGCTGAACGCACAGAGAGCGACTTGTACCGAGGCTACCACAATCAACCAAGTGTCGAAGTGCCCTACAATATACTTTGATCGAGCTTCAAACATGTAATGTTGTCTCCGTGTGAAGCTGGTGGAGCCTTGGGTTTTCTGGGTGCCTATTCGTTTTTTCAACCTTGAGCCATACCTATGTAGCAATGGCATGCGCACTTTCGTTTTTGTAATCCACATGTTTTATGCCAGCCCACTCAATAGGCTAATCCTCGAATTCGAGGGCTACTGGTTCCTCATGCGCTGCGTTCATGGCATATCAGTACTGATATCTAGTTTTGAGCCCGCCGAAGGGCATTCGACTTCCATCAGATTGCCTCTCAGCCAATGTGAACTCTGTTGAGTCGCAAGCCATTACCACAGCTTTCTTGTATGAGATTTCCCACATTCCTTGGCGGATATCTCACAGAACCTTCTGAACCAACTCGACTGTATCGAAGAAGGCTTCCCGCTCAGTGTCGACCTTGGTGAGCCCCAGTCCCAACACAAGCGTCCTGCGATCCTCGGGATCTCTCGTAGACATGAGACTGGCAATCTGTGCGGCGTAGAGCTGTCCCAGAGTTTCTCTCTCATCACCTCCACCGCCGAGAAGAGTCTTGGGCGTGAGGTGGACCGAGGGGAGCAGGCCCCGGCTACTTGAAGGCAGGCTGAGGTCGACCATACCGCCTGATGAAGCTTGCAGAGGTACTTGGATCTGACGAGTAGGTCAGTATGGTCAATTCTTAAAAGTTCTACAAAGACATCGAAGACTTACCCATTGTGAGAGCTTGCCGTCTTGTGAAATTGTCAATACAAACTTGTCGGAGAAGGAGACTGAAGTGACTTCTGTAGGAACGCCATTCACTGTTCCCGTTTCCTGCCTGTTCCGTGCGGGGAAGGCCTCTTCTCTGATTCCTTGAGGTTCCATCGTATTGGCTGTTTTGAGGAAGTGTTTTGGGAGGGATAGAGTGTTTTTAAGACTCAAGCTTCTGAGTCTTGGGAAGTGGCTTTATAACTTGGTCTCGTGGGTGTGTGATGTAGATCGTTTGTTGAAGTCGTACGTTGGACTCGCAGGGCCAACTCTGTGTGCAGTTGCCAGCCAGGCAGTGAGGGACCCGTCGAATCCACAGCAGCGGGCAACAGGGGGTGGGGTGGAGATCGCCCCGCACTAAGCCTAAAATAGCCAGAGGGCTGGCGGTCAGCACGGCAGAACCTTTTTCATCCAAAAATTTCCAGAATTTGGCAGCGCATTTCAGTGATCTTCAGCGTTGAGTGAGAGAAACGTGAGATTTACTTCATGTGCATCTCCTAATCTTGATACCCTTATTAAAATGCCAATTTCTTGGAGGCATTGACAAATTGTTTTACGACGCAATATCCCAAAATTTGATCCGTTTTCTGGACTTTGATGGCTTGATCTAACCTCACCTGGATCAGCAACGAAAGTCAGTCTCATCCGCCTAAGCTTTGTCTAGTGAGGTGAGAGAAGCCGAAGAAGCAACATCGGGGGGGGGTTTTTTTTTTTTTGGCTCCAGTTCAGAACAACACCACACACCACAAAGAATCTACATTGTAGACAATCAGAAGTCGTCATACTTTCAAGATGGGAAAATTCGTTCCCAGACAACGAAAGCACAAGGTGCTCGCCCGCGAAAGGGCCAAGGAGAACGGCACTATCCCGGACTCGAATGCGGATGAGATTCTCCCCGAAGACCAGAAGCGTCTACAGGATAAGAGAGCGCAGCTCAAGGCCGAATTACAAGGAGACGGCGCCAAGGCCAGCGGCAAGAAGGCGAAGCGGCTGGAAAAGTACATCACCAACAAGCTTCGCAAAGATGAGAATCGCGAAATCCTCGCCAAGCTCGCACAGCAAAAGGTCGACACGAGCCTTTTCGCGAGTACCAAGACTCTCGGTCAGGGCAAGGAATCCAAGCGCCAGACCTTGACTAGGGCGTTACGGGAGAAGAACGCCGGATTGGACGTCGACGCGGATGCGGAGGAGCTGCTTTATGAAGAGAGGGAAGAGGCACCCGAGGCGGATTCCGACGAGAGCGAAGACGAGGCTCCAAAGGCCCCTAAGCCGCAAGCTCCCAAGGCCACGGTCAAGGCATCTGCGCCAGTACCAGAAGCGAAATCAAAGTCAACACCAGTAGTACCTCCACAAGCAACAGCGCCAGCACCAGCACCAGTACCAGCACCAGCATCGAAGCCGGAATCGCAACCCGCCACATCTGTGGGATCTGGTCTGAAGCGCCCGCTGGACGTCGATGAGTCGGGACGACCAGTGCTTCGGAAGCGTCAAAAGAGGGGCGGCGTTACGTCCAAATTCTCCATTGCCGAGCCGGAGAAGGTGAAGGATGCAGAGGACGACTGGAGTGGTTTCAGCGATGACCCAGAGGAGAAATCAAGCGATGAGGAGGACGCTTCCGTAGAGGAATCTGGAGAATCAAGCGAAGGTTCCGAAGAGTCAGAGGAAGACGACGAGGACGACGAAGACGAGTCCACCAGCACAAGGCAATCTGCCTTCAAGGCCTGGGCTCTTGCGCAAAGAAACGAGGCCCTTGGTTTCGAATCAACAACAGAGGCCTCTACAGCACTGGAAATTCCCAGGCCAGAGAACTTCGAGCCACGCCCGCTTGAGCAGGAACCGCTACCTCAGGAACTACAGCCGACGACAAACCTTGCACGCAAGGCATATGCTGTCGCTGTGACGAGGACGCCAGAGATCCAGGAAGTTCGTATGAAACTCCCGGTTGTTGCTGAGGAACAGAAGATCATGGAGATGATTCACAACAACGACATTGTCGTCGTGTGCGGTTCTACAGGTTCCGGTAAGACGACCCAGGTACCGCAGTTCTTGTATGAGGCTGGTTATGGTTCTCCTGGCTCTGCTACTCCGGGCATGATTGGTGTCACGCAGCCTCGACGAGTTGCTGCCGTGAGCATGTCAAAACGTGTTGCCCAAGAATTGGGTGACCACTCGGACAGAGTCGGATACCAGATCCGATTCGAGGGCACAGCTTCGGCCAAGACGGCCGTCAAGTTTATGACGGATGGTGTGTTGCTGCGAGAGATGGCGCAAGACTTCTCTCTGAAGAAGTACTCAGCAATCATCATCGACGAGGCCCACGAGAGAAGTGTCAACACAGATATCCTCATTGGAATGCTGAGTCGTATCAACAACATCCGCAAGGGCGATGACAAGGTCGATCCCTCGATCAAGCCGCTCAAGATCATCATCATGTCCGCGACGCTGAGGGTCGAAGACATGACCAACAATACCACACTATTCCCCACCCCGCCCCCGTAGTCGAGGTCGAAGGACGACAGCATCCCGTCACGATTCATTTCGCGAGGCGCACACAGTCCGACTTCGTCGAGGAGGCCTTTAACAAGATCATGCGTGGTCACAGGAAGCTGCCGCCCGGAGGCTTTTTGGTGTTTCTTACCGGTCAAAACGAGATCAGGTACCTGAGCAAGCGGCTGAGGGAAGCATTTGGTGGTTTCACAGAAGCCAGCGCGCCCAAGGTCCAGATCTCGGCCACCGACGCGCCTATGGAGGTCGAAGATATCGACTTTGGCGAGGTTGAGGATACCATCGCTGCCGACATTGACGACGGCCTCGACGAGGATGAAGACATGGAGCACGAGGACGACAAGGAGTTTGAGATCGAGGGAGAGGAGGGAGAGACGGGGCCTATGAAGATGCAAGTCTTACCTCTTTACTCTCTCTTGCCGACCAAAGAACAGATGAGAGTATTTGAGGACCCTCCCGAAAATCATCGCCAAGTTATCCTGGCAACCAACGTTGCGGAAACCAGTTTGACGATTCCGGGCATCCGTTACGTCTTTGACTGTGGCCGGTCCAAAGAGCGACAATATGATCGCTTCAGCGGAGTACAAACCTACGAAATCGGCTGGACCAGCAAGGCCAGTGCCAGCCAGCGTGCTGGTCGTGCCGGTCGTACGGGACCCGGCCATTGCTACAGACTCTACTCCTCGGCCGTCTACGAGAGAGACCTGCCCGAGTTCACAGACCCCGAAATCCTGCGGATGCCCGTCGACGGCGTCGTGCTCCAGCTCAAGTCAATGAACCTCTCCAACGTCGTCAACTTCCCCTTCCCGACGCCGCCGAACCGTATGGGTCTCCGCCAGGCCGAGAAGCTGCTCACCTACCTCTCAGCCATCGCGCCGGAAGGACAAATCACAAAAATCGGATCGACAATGTCCATCTTCCCGCTCTCGCCCCGCTTCGCCCGCATCCTCCTCGTCGGCCACCAACACGACTGCCTGCCGTACACCATCATGATGGTGGCGGCGCTCTCGGCCGCCGAGGTCTTTGTCCCGGAACACCAGGCGATCCCCTCCCTCGCCGCGCGCGATGAGTCCGACTTCCGCCGCACCGCCGACATCATCGCCGAGGACCGCCAGGCCAACATCAGACGCCTCTTCAACGCCGCGCACAAGAACTTCTGCTACCTGGACGACCGGTCCGACGCCATCAAGCTCCTCCAGGTCGTCGGCGAGTACGCCCACGACCCGACGGAGAAGTGGTGCGAGGACCACTTTGTCCGGCACAAGGTCATGAAGGAGGTGACGCAGCTGCGCCAGCAAATCACCGAGCTCCTCCGCGCCAACATCCCCGCCTTCAAGAACCTCAAATACCAGGACCGGCTCGACGCCCCCTCGGACAAGCAGGTCGCCTACCTCAAGCAGATGGTGGCCGCCGGCTTCATCGACCACGTCGCCCTCCGCGCCGACAAGGCCCCCGTGCCGCCCGAGGTGACGCGCAAGCCCGGCCGCGCCATCGACGTGCCCTACATCCCGCTCTCGCCGCTCGGCGTGGGCCACGGCGCGGAAAAGTACATTTACATCCACCCGACGTCGCCGCTCGCGCACCTCAGCCCGGCCGAGTGCCCCGAGTTCGTCGTGTACTCGCAGCTCCAGCGCGCGACGCAGGGCGCGGACGTGAACAAGACGCCCAAGACGAGGATGCTCGCGCTCACGGACGTCACGGGCGGGCAGCTCGCGAGTTTGGCCAAGGGCACGCCGCTCGTGAGCTACGGGAAGCCGGTCAAGGAGATTTCGTCCACGGCGAATACGCGCGAGGTGTGGGTTGTGCCGTATCTCAGGGCCGAGGGGGTTGGTGGTCAGGGGTGGCCGTTGCCGATGAAGAAGGTCGTGCAGCGCAGGGTTGCTGGGAAGGGATGGGTTGTTGAATGAAACGCGGGGGAATTAAAAAAGTTGGTATAAGCATATTTCAAAAGAATAGAATGGGACACAAAGACATTCACTGTTACTCTAATATCTCGCTCGACCTTAAGGCGACAACGAATCGTTGATCTGCGAGGGAAAGACCGGCTTATCTCAATGAGTCGGAACCCCAACGCGCCGTCAACCAGAGTCAGTTTCTTTTCCCAATGATTCAGTCATTTGCCAGTCAAACCGGTAGAGCCGCCGCTTCTATATGAGCGAATCGGGTAGAACGGTACCTTTGGATGGAAACTCCTCCCCACCCCAATGCCAAACCTCCCAAAACAAGAGTCAAAACCAGCCGGTGATTCAAAAACGTGGCGAGCTGGGCGGTAGAATCGGTTCACAACCTGAACCTTCTTTTTCCGAGACAAGGGGGGGGTTCTTTTTCATTCAGTATGGACCATGCGTTCTCCTCCCTCCCTTCTCCATCTTCCGCTTTCATCGGCTCGTTTGCGGGTGAGAGGTGGTTTGGAGGTGGGAAGGGGGAGACATTCAGGCCTCGAGTAACTCTCGGACACGGGTGTCCCAAAGGAAAACTTCGGACGAAGGAAATTGTGAAGCGGGTAAAGCTGCAGATGCACGCCCGTGGCCGGGCCCGAGCGAGAGACTTGACTTGTACTGGTTTTCCTTCGAGAAGGATGTTTTCCGTTTGTTCTAGTGTCATTGACTGCCGATTCTATTCGTTCGCCGAAATTATACCAAATTTCTTATTTCTTGAACGAAGCCTAAGTGAAGCCGAAGACAGAACGCGGGGTACAATCGACTGATATCGTGACGATAACGACAAGCTTTACTTGTTGCTGATTCATACGCCAAACCTTTTCTTATTTATATAGCCGTTCCGGTTAGGATTCTCTCTTCTGTTTGGGTCTTGGTTTGGAGAGCTCTTGCTCGTTACGCTATCCTGCCCTGCATCAATAATAGCACAGGGTCGTCGTTGTTTGCAGTAAGCCACCCTTCCCCCCTTCCGGACCGGGCTCCGATGATATTGCAACAGCAGAAGTCGACCTGGAAGGAAAACGAAGCTCTCATTGACGAATGCATGAGTGTTCTCCGAGAAATTGAGATGAAAATGTCACTCTTCTCAGGCGTCGCCGTCGTCACCGGCGCTGCTTCAGGTAAGGTCACATAGGTTTCTTCGAGACTTGGACGGCGTATATCCAGTCATAATTTGAAGGAATTAAAGAGAAATCTGGAAGCTAGACTAACTTAATAAATAGGAATCGGCCGTCAGGTGGCAATTTCATTCGCCCGCGAGGGCTGCAAGCGCATCGCCCTTCTCGACAGAGATGAGGACGGCGCGCTGGAGACGGCTCGCATGTGCCGGGAGGCCAATGGGGAGACGCGCACTTTCGTCATGGAGATTGACAACCGGAACGACGAGGACATTGCTTCGTGTATGGAGAACGTCGTGGAAGAATGGGGCCGGATCGACTATGCAGTCAACTGTGCAGGTAAGAACTCTCCGTCTTTACACATTCCCCTTCCAGGTCTACTCTGAAATTACATGTGGCATTACCATGTAATAAAGATATTGGAGAGATTATTGACGCTACTTTGCAGGCATGTTTGGACCAAAAGCACCGTCACACCTCCTGACGCCCGCCGAGTTTGACGAAATCACCAACATCAACTACCGCGGCACATGGTTGTGCTCGCGGGCGGAGCTCACGCATATGATCAAGCAAGAATCCATGAAGACGCACGACGGCAGGCCAGGTAACCGGGGCGTCATTGTCAATGTCGCGAGTAATCTGAGTTTGGTCAGCCGGCCAGAGACACGTGAGTCTGAGCCAAGAATCCCCTTTTTTCCATGTGTGAAGTGCAACAGCTGACATCGTGGTAGCGGCCTATAATGCTTCTGAGGCGGCTATTCTCAGCATGACGAGAAGTGATGCCATCGATGTGGGTTTTTTTTCTGCAATAGAAAGACTTATCGGGTTTCCAGTCTAACAGCTAGTAGTATGCAAAGTACAATATCCGCGTCAACTGCGTGTGTCCAGGGATCATTGAGTAAGTTCCGGGAGTGACTGCATGAATGTTGTTGATCACGAGGGCTGACCGGGACGTCCAGCACGCCCATGACAAGCGAAGTCTCGCCAGATGATCCCATCATCGCAGTAGCGCCTATGAAGCGGAAAGGAACGCCGCAGGAAGTTGCCGATGCCGTCTTGTTCCTCTGCAGTTCCAAGGCGTCCTTTATCCACGGCGCCTCGTTGTCCGTCGACGGCGGCTACGTTATCAACTAGGATGGATCCTTATTGGGTCCCTTGGTGTTACCTGTTGTATTATCAAAAGGAAGATGAGATACAGAGAGACACAAAGAGAGAGAGAGAGAGAGAGATAGAGAAAAAATTGCCTTTAGAGAAGAATGGCTATGAAGAACCTAGTTGAAACGGAAGCCTGGCGAGCAGATTGGGATCTGTGAATAGATCTCACTGTTGGGAGACCATCGATGCATTGTCACAGTGTATACATAGAGTCACTTACAATCAATAGTGAACTCATGTCGTCCATTTAGAGGTTGCTCGTAGCGATATTGTTTGCGTGCTAGGACTATTGAAGTCGGAGAAGTACGAAATGTAGTACGCGCAATCTCGTCCGTAGTCTTGGCAGAAAAATGCAAATATCTCCGAAACATCTTCTACTTGTTGAGTGATGTTCGGGCGGTGATCTACTCATGGGATCTATTCTAGTGTTAAAATAGAAAGACTAGTGGTAACGCGACACGACGCAAGTCAAAGTATCCGAAAAGTCTCCATGATCTACATTTTCCCCAGACTATATATGTAAGACTTCCTTCGCTCACTACATCAAAAATAACAATCTCAAAAAAAAAAGCCTAATTCAGAATAACCATCACTTAAAATGACCTCCAAAACACCAAAAATCCTCATCGTCGGCGCAACAGGCCAGACGGGAAGCGCAACAATCGCAGCCCTGGCCTCAACCCCCAACCCGCCCCAACTCCTCGCTCTCACCCGGTCCCCATCCTCTCCCAAATCTCAAGCCCTCCTCAAACTATTCACAGACCACTCATCACCACCACCAATAACCCTCATCCAAGGCACACCCGAAAACCCATCCCCAATCTTCGCCTCCCACCCAGACATCTCCGCCCTCTACCTCGTAACCGTCCCGCCCGGAGACGAAGCGCAGGCCATACCCCTCATCGACGCAGCCATCGCCCACAACGTCCCACACATTGTCTTCTCGAGCGTCGACCGCGGAGGCGACGAGCGCTCGTGGACGAACCCGACGCCCGTGCCGCACTTTGCGGCAAAGCACCGCGTCGAGGTGTACCTCCGCGACAAGACGCGCGGCACGGCCACGAAATGGACGATTCTGAGGCCGGCGGGGTTCATGGATAATTACCGAGCCGAGGCGGGGGCTATGGGGTCCGTCATGGGCGGGTTATGGGCGACGATGCCGGCGGGTGGGAGGAAGATACAGCTTGTCAGCGCGAGGGATATCGGGCTCTTTGCGGCTCGGGCTCTGACGGAAGGTCCCGAGGGAGGATGGGGTGGTAGGGCGCTGGGGCTCGCTGGGGATGAGATTGGTTTCGAGGAAGCGGAGGAGGTGTTTGAGAGGGTTGTTGGGCAGAGGATGCCGAGGACGTGGGGGGTTGTCGGGCGGTCTGTGAGGTGGGCTTTTGAGGATGCCGGGAGGAGTATGGAGTGGTTTGAGGGGGAAGGGTATAAGGCTGATGTTGAGATGTTGAGGGGGATGGAGCCGAGGTTGCAGAGCTGGGAGACGTGGTTGAGGGAGAGTAGTGGGTGGGTGAAGGGTGACGAGGAGGAGGAGTAGAATAAAGGGGTTCAAGAGAGGTTCCATGGAGGTCAGCAATGGTGGTTGATACCACTTTTCAAGAGCTTTGAAGAGCGCCGAAGACCATAGATTTCAAGCCTCGTCTTAACTTAGTATCAAAAGACAAATATGAGGGAGGGTTCGGAGCCGCCTCTTTTTGTCATGGAAGATTCTGGTATGAAAAGTGTAGACAAGCCCATTCCACTGCGCAGAACGCTTGAGAACATGAGCAGGACAAGCCGCGAGGCTCTGTAGCCGATAAGCCATCGCCACTATCTCAATAACAAGCACCTAGGCCGTGTGGTCGAGGGGTTAATCGGGCTGTAGAGGCCCCGACTATGCAGTGATGTATCCTGTTTATTTCGGGATCCAAATCCGATTCCTTGATCGGTCTCCCCATCGTTGTTTTGTCTTTCCCTCTCTCTAGAAGAACCATAGAAATCATGCTCTGCTGACTGAAAAAGGGGGTATCATTACTAAATCAAAACGCTATATATGAGTGAGCCAAAATCCAACTCGTCTTCTTTTTGATCCTCCACAACAACACCAATCTCACGAAGACGGACCAGGCGTGGTAGCCGGCGTCGCAATCTTGCTCTTCTTCCTCTTCGGCTTCGGTCCGTTGGGCGTCTTGGGACTCTTCCCCTCCTTCCCCTCCTTCTTGGCCTCCTCAGCCAGCTTGGTATTAATCACCGGCTTCGGCTGCGCCTGCGAAGCCTGCTGCGACGACGACTGCGACTGCGACGGCGGCGGCGGCGGTGCAATCTTGTCCTTGCGCCCCGTGCTCGCGAAGTGGAAGTCGCCGGGCCTGCCCGTGATGGGGTTCTCGTCAAAGTAGTCGCCGCCGTGGCGCATGTGGATCGCAAAGGACTCCTCCGCCAGCCTGTCGAGCGCGTTGGCCGTCGAGTCCTTTTTGCTGTTGCTTGACTTGTTGGCGCCCGTCGAGGTCTTGCTGCCGTTTGCTGCGCCTTCGGCGGCGGGTGTGTCTGCTGCTGCTGCTGCCGCTCCTCCGTCTTTCGCGCGGGAGAGGGCGGAGGGTGGCGTCGGTTGGGTGTAGACGTGGCCCAGGGAGGGCGTCCATTTACGTACGCTGTCGGCTGCGGGGAGAACTTTTCTCATTGATTCGGCAATTGATTCCTGTTGTTATAGTTAGACTCCATCATCCTTCTTAAAAAAAAGAAAGAAAAAAAAAAAGTGTGCCATCTCTTTCGTGAGAGGGAAGGGGAAACCTACAATCCTCGAGCTGAGAAGATCGCCCAGCGTCGGCGCCTGATAGATATTCTCCCCAACGACAAAGTAATACGCCAGGGGCTTCGTCTCCATGCGCCCGCGGTCGAGGTTCTTCTGCCTCGTCTGCTTGACAATCGTCCACACGCCCGTGCCCATGACCATGTCGGCGGGCGCGTGCAGGACCCTGAACTCGAGCCCGGCCATCTTGTCGAGCTCGCTCTCGAACGCCTCGCGCGTGGCGAGGTTCTTGAGGAGGGCCGGGTTAAACATGGCCTGGTTCGTGATGACGGCGTTGTTGGACTGGCGGTCAAAGAAGGGCGACTCAGCAAAGTAGAAGAGCACGCTGTTGGAGTGGATGCCCTGCATCGAGGCCGCGATGTCGGGGGCGCGCCATTGGATCTCGTCCAGGGGCGGGTCGTTTGGATTGGACATTTCTTTGGGGGGTGGGTGAAGGGGAATCGTTCGGTTCGTTGGGAGGGTGGTGTGTTCGAATGAGGTTATTGACGAATTCGTGTTGTGCTGTGTAGGCGTGGGTGGGTGACGTTGGGAGGGCCTGATTGCGGAGCTTTCTGAGCCGGAGAAGCTCTCCAACTTTTGTATCGTGGGGCCGGCCGGAGCTTGTTCGACTCCAGGGGCTGGATCGACAGGGGTGTTTTGCGGGGAGCTGTCACGTGATGCTACTGCCTGCCGACAACCTCCATTCTCCAAGCTCCAAGACAAGCATCATCAAATTCCAACAACACAGAACAAACTCCCATCCCACGGAATTCACCGCAAAAAAAGAACAACACAGCATCAATACCCAAGTAAACAACGTCAAATCAACTCGAAACCCCTCCCCAAAAATGGACCTCCTCTCGAGCGTCCGCAAATCCGGCTCCCGCGGCGGCGTCAACTTTAGCTGGGACGAAGTCGCCAACTCCTCCCACCGCGAAAACTACCTCGGCCACAGCCTCAAAGCCCCCGTCGGCCGCTGGCAAAAGGGCCGCGACCTAAACTGGTACGCGAAAGGCGGCGACGACGACGCCGGCGCGATAGAGGGCGAGACGGAACAAGAGAGGCAAGAGCGCGAGCGGAAAGAGGAGCTGCGGAAGATCAAAGAGGTCGAGGAGGATGCGCTTGCGCGCGCGCTGGGATTGCCTGTGCCGCAGCGGGACTCGTCGGGCGCGAATGCGGTTGAGGTGAGCGGGGCTAGGGGTCTCGGCGGTGGTGCCGGGGCTGGTGATGCGAAGCCGCTAGAGGAGGAAGGGGCCAAGGGTGGGCTTGTTGTTAGTGAGAAGAGGGAGCGGAGGGATCGTGATGAGGATAGGGAGAGAAGGCGGAGGCGGAGTAGGAGTCGTAGCCCCCGAAGAGAGAGGAGGAGGGATGGCGAGAGGAGACGGAGTCGGGATCGGGGCGCGGAGCGCGGAGAGGAGAGGCGTCATCATCATCGCCGCGGCGAAGGGAGGGAGCATGGTGGTCGGGAGCGGAGAGATCGCGATCGCGATCGCGATGAGGGGCGGGAGAGGCGGCATCATCGCAAGGCGAGAAGCCGGAGCCGTGAGGGTGAAGGTGAGCGAGAGCGCGGACCGAGAGAGCATCGTCGGCGGAGCAGGAGTAGAGAGGGTCAGCGGCCGCGGTCGAGGGACCGCCGGCGTAGTCCGGATGAGCGTCACCGATGAAGGCCGGTAGAATACTGTGAATGCTGTGACCGAGGAGACAAAACAATGATACCCATGTCACTTTTGATGCGCAAACAAGCGCAATTAGAACACACAGTCCACAAGAGCATCCGCTGTCAAATTGGCGTTGAACGGGAACCAACAATTAATACGTGCCTGGTCACAATGTCATCGCATGCGTATCTATAACCCACTATGACTTGACAGAGACGTTTTGACTAGTGACTTTGCGAAGATAGAATCCCATTTTATGACTCAACTTCAACCTGGTCTGCGGATTGATCCAGCCCTTGAGGCTGAAATAAATGCCGACATCTACCTCACTGTACCTATTTTTCATCAACCTGAACGCCAGTCCCGAATAACTCCAATCCCGTCATTGACAGTACAAAATCGTAAACACAGCTTAAGCGCTGAACGATGTCACGTAGTACTATCAGTTGTTAGTACACTCCCTTCAAGTCGCATGCAAGGATAATCTTACAGTGAGTACGGCGTCGTCTGCAGTAGCATCATCATACTGCGGCACGTAGACGTACAGAATCAAAGCATGGTCGTCAGCAAAAGCAGCAACAACCCTCCCCTCGAGCCTCCCTACACTCAACACTCGACTCCAGTCCTTGCCATCCACCCTCACCGTCGCCCACTTCTCCGGCCCGCCTTCCTTGAACTTGACGCTCGGGTGCTCATCAACGGGCATCTCCAGCTGCGTAGGGTCCAGCTCCGGATTGACGAGCCCGGACCAAGTACTCGAGACGTCGACGGCCTCGGTGGCGATCCGCAGCTTCAGGTTACCAAACATGTTGGCGCTGAGCTCTAGCTTAGGACTCACGCGGGAGTTTGTGCCGGACGAGACGGCGAGCTTGGTGAAGCGGTCCGAGATGGCCTTGAGCTGGAGCAGAGGCGGCATGGTGATGTGCACGTCTGTCTCGCGCACCGTGGGCTGCATGATTGTCTCTACCGTCTCTGGATGCAGCACCCGCACGGGGATGTCCTGGGTGATGATCTTCTCGCGCTCGCGGCGCAGAGACGTCTCTAGATGCTCAGCTGCGAATCCCTGGTCGTCCTCGTCAAAAGGGTCGTTTTCGAGGCCAGCGTAGGCGGCATTGCGGCCCGGGAGACCTGATCCCGAGGAGGCGTTCGTCGTGGTCGTGATCGTCATGGACAGCACAGGAATTCCATCCTTCTTGGTCAGTCGCAGCGAGGCGGAGGTGCTGTTGAGCGCAGAACGTAGAGCACGTTGAAGGGGTTGCAGTGGCAGCTCTAGATTGATGGTGTTGTGCTCTTCGGCGGATTGGATGTGATAGCTGTCAAAGATGAAGTCCATGGGTAGAGAACTGGGCCATGATTCAGTAACCATAGCTTCCGAACACGCTACCAGAGCCAGAGTGCAGCAATCTTACGACCAGACTTGAGAACCCGTGTCGGGAATGACGGTGAAGCGCGCCGTTTCATCGTCTAGGCGAACCCATGCGATCTTCTCGAGCGAATTGAGAGCAGCGGTGAGCTCTGTAAAGCGAAGGGAACGGCGAGAGAGTCAACAAGCGAACCCGAGGACGTAGCAAAGCCGGCGGGCGGGCGGGCAAACAGGCAGGCATGGGGGTTGTGGGGTCAAACGCACTGGAAAAGGTACGGATGTTTTTGAGCTCCGTCTTGAATCGCATTTTCGAAATCTCGATCTCTCAAAGAGATGGCCGTCCGTCCGTCCGTACAGGGAAAACCTTATAAGAACAGGGAGACACAACACAGAAAGAGAACCCCCGGCTGCAGTTGACTGGCGAAGGGTGTGGGTTGTGGTTACAGGGCGGGGAGGCACGGGGGGGGGGGGAGCTGATTGCCTCTTTTGGTGTAGACGCGTAAAGTGGAAAGAGAAACGACGCGATCTTACCTTTCAGAGGTGTGGTGCAGACGGTGCAGTGCGATGACAGTGTGGTACGCCGTCGTGCGTGGTGCTGCCACTGGCAAAGAGAAGGCACCGGGCAAAGGTGGTGCACGCCTGCCGCCACGCTGCACTGCAAGCTGCTGCCAGCCACGATGGTCTGCAGAAAAACGGCACGGAAGTCTTTAGCGCGGGGCATCTACCCCTGCTTAGCGTACCCACATTGGGAGACCTCACCCCATTCACAGTTCGCGCCTACCCCGCCATCGCCTGAGGTCCACGGCGTCGCGCAAAAGACGGGAGGAGGGCGAGACCGCTCTCTGTGATGGCCGGCCAGTTGGATAATGTCCCGACCGGCTTCACTTTCCACCCCTTTTTCCTTTGATTCAAGATCTCGGGGAACTGGGTGGATGGTATGGACGTCGACGGGTGTGGAGGGTAGTGTTAGTTAGGAGTTTTGCGTCACAGTGAAGGAGTGTCAGTCTGTCTCGACTGCCTGGCTTTTAGGCGGCCTCAATATCTTCACTTTCACCATGAGATGAGGAAATAAAATGTGTTCAAGATCGTTGTGAAAAGCTGGAAATTCTTTACAGGTATTGGACAAATGAAATCCGTCTCCTATACCATCTGCTGTCTTATAAGACTGATGAGGCTTCGCCCAAGTCATGATGTTCCCGTCAAACTACTGTGTAAAGGCCTGGCTTGGTTGTCATAATGCCAGTCCTACCATCCGCTGTGATGCCTTCGTCTACCGGCCTCTCAAAACCACTGTCGTGCATCCCTGTCCTTCATCTGTTCATCGCTTGTGTACGCTGACGGCGTCGAGTCGAATTGCTCCAGGCCGCAAGAAGTCGCCATGTCTCTGCTTAGACCTCCCGCGACAGTGATATATCCCCAGTCTCACCAAGAGGCGTAAACGATACCTCCAGTGTTATTTCTTTGGTGATTTCGACCCAGGAGCTTTCCGATCTTCTTGGATAAAGTGCTCGATCCACTTCCTCCTCCACACTTCGCGGTCCTCCCAAGGCTCTTTTGTTGGCGTTTCTTCCTGTTCCTTGGGCACCTCTTGAGGAATGGACGCCATGTTGTGATCCAGCGAGTGGATGAGAGAGTTGAGCCGCGGCAGGAGCTGACCGCGAAAGTATTTGGATGTTTTGCGAGTACGTTGTAGTTGCGTATGACATATCTCGCACGGCATCCAGCCCCAGTACATGTAATTGCGCGTCGGCTTCGTCGTCGGCACCACAGGATGTCCACAGTCGCACCGCATGCTCACCCGGCACCAAGGGCAGTGCGGCTCATCGACGCTGGCGACGCCGAGCCAGTGTTGTATGCAGTCGCCGCCGAAGCGGTGGCCGCAGGGAAGATATCGCCAAATCTCCTTGTCGCCCTCCTCCTTGACCTCGCCTACTTTTTCGTAACATATTGCGCAGCAGGTATCGTCGGCAGCGGGATTCGAAGCCATCTCCTGCTTCCGCATAACAGATTTGAAAATGTTCATCGTCTCCAGCGGGAAGGGGACATGGAATTCGCTATAAGACCCAGCCAGCGTCGGAAGAAAAAAAAACTTGCTAGAGGAAGTCGAGTCCGGACTAACCGAAGCCTTTGTTGCTAGAGCCAAACGGCGGTCGAACAGTGATAAACAAAGAAGATGAGGAACATGACAAAGAAGGGGAAAAGAGAGGTACGGCACCCAGACAGGAAGAGCCACTGACTTTAGGAAACCTAATCGTGCCTTGCAGATGGCTCGACATTGACCTCCGCCGTTGGACCGTTCCGGATCCTCTACCGGGTCAGCCATGTCTTTCTCAAGGAAAGAAGAGGTATGGTGCACGGTGCCATACCTTGAGTACAAGGTGTGCCGCCGACTCGCTGGGCTATGCTTGACATGTGCGCTGGCAGCATTTAGTCTTGGTCTGACCTTTCTGGGAAACATCGAGCATTGGTTGGAGAGCGTGTGACGCTTGACGCTTGTCAGAAGGAATGCGTGCCCCTCCTCCAGGTCCTCCAGGAAAGGAACCGTTTCGGCGCTGCTGACCTCCACCATTTCATCCCACTCTTGTCACATTGAACAAGAGTGAGATGCGATGCTGAGGAGGGGTTCATGGAGGGGGAGGGAAACGAAAAAAGAAAAAAAAAGATAGAGGAGCCGCCGTCTCCGATAGCGAAAGAGAGAAACATGACGGGCCAAGCTAGGTAAGGTGTAGAGACATGCAGGACGGAAACACGGGCGCCTGAGCGGTGCTTGTTTCGGACATGTGGTTGCGCCTGACCCCAACTCAGACCAAACAGAGCAGAGATAGAGCGAGACAGTCGACCAAAGTGAGGCAGGTTGGCAGGCGGCATAAGGTTCAGCTGATGTTGATTTCAGCATTGAAATGTATGCAGTTTTAGCCACCCCTTATTGCCACTTGATTCCCACGTTTGCCGACTACCTAGCAATGCGGAACCAGAACTTGGTGGTGCTTGGATGGATACGAAGTACGAAGTAGGTCGAAGATCTGGGTCGCTTTACATAGAGACTTTCCTGGAACAGGCGATTGTCGAGAGAGACATCGCAGACTTAGCCTCTTGGTGACAGCCTGACTAGATCGGCCAACTCGGCCGAAGGCTTGCCAGTTCGCGTGCCTATCCACATCCCGCGTTGCATGCAGGGCGGAAGAAACGAGGAACGGGGTTCTATGCGGCAACGATATGTGTCTGACGAAAAGCTAAGGCATTCAGCCGAGTGTCCTCGTGGTCGGCAACGGGGCAAGGCATCCGGTACACGGAAGTGAGGCTGAAGTGCGTGTTAGATTGATGACTACCGCCTATTACCAGCTCCATCATCTTCATCGTCACTGTCGTCTCTAAAGCCCTCTTCCAGGCTGGCGCAGAGACACATGTGTTAGTTACAAGGCCAGGCGACTAAAAACAGGGAGGCGGGGAGAATTGCTCGACTCACTCTCTACCCAAGCGTCTCGTGCTACCATGTCTGTCTCGCCGAGCATCTTCTGACAAAGCTCTCCGGGTATCTTCACCAACCTCCCCAAGCTCCTCTCCATCTTCTGACGAATAACCGTCTTCGGAAGCGTCGGTCGCGATGACGAGTCGTTCATGAGCATTCCGCCGCCAGGTTGACGGGACCATCATCCTGGCAATCGCATTTTGCACGCGGTGTCGTAATGACACGGTCGAGGTCGATATGGTATCGAGAGGCAGATATTGGCTATAGCGACTGCGCCATCTGCGCCAGAGCGGGATGGCAACGTAGGTCGAAACGAGGAAGAGAATGAGCGAGATGATGGCAGGCACGATCAAGGTCTAGACATATGACGACAGGAGGTCAGCTCAAGAGATCTAGGTATCATGAGACAGTTGCGGAGAGAGATTGAGGCTTGATTAGAGAGGATGATGGAGCGCACCTTTATGACTGACATCGTGGTGCCCATGGTGGGCCTGGCGATGATGTCGCGTAGATATTTGTCGACCTTGCGTCCTGGTGGGAAAGATTTCCCCCTGATTCGGTGTTGCGCTGAATGATGGCAAGGCTACGGTTAACAGCAAGCTTAGCTGAGGACTGCGGCCGGCCAGTGCGGACGAAGCCACGGGCAGGCTAAAGCCAAAAGAGGCGGCCCTGTCAAGCTGTCTGCCCAGGCCCCAGTGCCCAGGTGGTGTTGACGTGACACGGAGCAAAGCAGTGGAGGTTGACAGGCATACGCAATCAAAAAGCCACTTGGCCCCGGCCGGCGCCGGGCATGGCAGCTTGGAGGCACAGGCTAACCTTGATGGGCCCACTAGAAAAGCGCATCCTGCCAGAAAGTGTTTGGATAAGCACCTGTACGAATACCTAGGTACCTGCCCGCAAGGTACCTGACGCTGACAGAAGCGCTTTCGATAGTTCAGTTCACAAACACCTTAGCGGAGGTATCGCGAGTGACTAGAAACCGGCTCTCATAATGGTTTCCCCTTAGGTACGATTCTATTATATCTCTCTTGCATTTCGTTCTTTCGTTCTCTCACCATTAGTGTAGTTCCAATGATGAGAATATCCGCAGTATTTCGATCTTACTCAACTTGGCAGGTGAGCTTTATTGTCGAAAAGGTCGGGTCGCGGGATGACTTGAGCGCGGACTCCCCGGGACCCTTATCTGATGTGCTCAAGCGAGAGCCGAAGATAAGACACCTCGAAAAATGGCACCATTGAGGACCACCGTGCTACTGTGGGATTGCCGCTGATGTTTCTATTTCTGCATCAACAAAGCAACGCTCAGTGGAAATGCCAGTCTCGTACGATATCGACAGGGCAAGCCGCAGACGAGCAAATATCCAAGGTTTGCGGTACCAAAAGTACTAAGCAGACAGGTCGTCGTAATACGGTAATAGTCGAGGCTCCCAAGAATTCCGATCAAATATCGCTGGGCCTCAATGGTGTGGACCTCTCGGGAAGTCGTCTTGTCTCCCCACCGCCACCTTTCCATGTGGAGGTACATGGTTCGAGAGACCCTCTGGCTCAAAAGGGACAGACAGGGCAAGCATTGTAATTGGGCCTTAGGGTTCTTGTCGCCATCTTTAACATCAGCACCACCGTAACGGAGGGTCTGCTAGGGAAGGGTTAGGGGAGCCTGGGGAGGGACCAACCCGCCCCGGCGCCCATACTTTAGGAACCCGCCCAATGAGGGGGTCTATCGGGTCATTGGATGGACAGCCTAGAGATCCTCGCAAGGAGAGTGCGAGAGTTCGCTGTTTTGGGCGTTTACAAACGGACGAATGCGAGGAAGGGATTGCGAAGTGAAGAATCGATTACATCTGAGGCGATGGGCCAGAAGAGAAGGTACTTCAAGGTATGGCTAAATGCGACTGGTTGAAGCACCAAATGTCCACGAGCGTCGGCGATAAGGTAGGCAATGTTAGAGTTTCTCTCTCGACGGACTATTTGACGTATCACTGGCGAACCCAGCACGAGACTTGCAGATGCCGATGGCGATCTTTGGCGCTTTTTTATTTGGCTCAACCTACGGACTTTGGTTACTTGTCGCCGGACTCACATACCAGATACCTACTTACCTATGTACTCATAGTCATTCTCTCTTCGCGCCTTCCTGAAGTCGTCCGAGTCCACGTCCCTCGGCCTCAACCCCTGAAAGACGCAGCAAGCGGGCTGCGGCGCCCCGTCACATCGCATGCCAATCCTAATTAACCATTCTATGGGTGCGGCGTGGCATTGAATGCGGATGGATATTGGACGTTGAGCTTTTCGCAAGTCCACTAACTCCCCGAGGCGTCCTGCCCGAATAATCCTTCGCACTTTGATTTTGATACGGAGTACCTACCTACCTACTTTACGGATACTCAATATTATCGCGCAACTAAACTTCTTTCTCAAGTCAAGCGCGCCAACAGAACATCCCCACCTCCCAACGCCAACGCCGCATGCGTTCGAGTTTCCTCTGCCTCTCACCTTCTCCTCTCGTCCATTTCGCGCCTCCGTCTGCGTTGACTTCTCTCGTCGTCCCTTCCATTCACATCTTCTCGCATCCATCCCGTACACTACGTCTCTGGCCGCGCCCGCGCCCATTCCAGTCCAGCTGTCACTACTGCAACGCACTGAGCTGGCCCGGTACCTTACCTTATTAGCCAAGACCTCGAAACTTCCCAATTCGCGCCGTCCGGTATCCCCACTGGCCTCGCCTCCAACGCCATTCACCTCGAGTCCCATCCTCTTCTTCCTCCCACCCCAGAACGCTCAGACAGTTTCCGCACAAGAAATCGCATTTCTGCTGCCCTTAAAGTGTCAAGTCAATCGCGGCCCCTTGTTTGTAACGTCGTCTTCACAGCGACGAGACCACCCGCCGCCCAAAAGCAAACCTGCACGGCTACCACCTCATCCCATGCTGGACGTGCTGCTGCTGCCGCTGGCCACTAAATTAGGTAGTCTATTTGCTCAACTGCCGCCTAGCCAACGCTCTGGATTGCCTGTTTAGCTACCTTAGAGGATAGGACGGCTTGTGGAGGAACGGATTCTAGACGGAACGCGCGAGCGAGCAGCACCTCAGCTCCTCGTTTCCCCTTCCCTCCCCCTCACGTGGGAAACCTGGTCCCACGGTCACAACATACACACGACCAAAGGCTATCATCATCGTCAGCTCGCCAGACCCATCTGCAGTTCGTCAGCCTGCGAACCGGTCGTGGCAGAATTCGGATACCTGTCCCGGCTTTGCTTCATACCCGGCAACCCAACCACACACTCTTTGTGACGCACCACTTGCTTTTCGCGATTCCATCTTGTTCATATTCCGAAACCCCTGCTCCATCCTACCGTACTCGCTGCAACCTGCGCAACTTTTTCGGACACCTACCTGTTACCTTGCGTCTCTTGCCCAGAAACGTTTCTACTCGAGAAAGCGAACCAAGTATCGACGGATTAATCAGCCCCTTTGCCTCTTTATACTATACCACCACCTTTGTCGCATTCGAGGGTGACTACAGAGGTACGTCGAGTGCCCCCAGGGGACCCCCTCCTTTCAGTCCCGGTCTCAAGTCCCAAACCTCTGTCTGCTTCGATCCAAACTTGGGCAGACGACATGCTAAAACATAACCGATTCATGCAGACAGAGATTACAACACGCCACATTGCAACTTGCTATCCCAACTGCCTCCGAAAGGCTCCACGTCCGGCAGCTAGAGGAGGTTCAATCATGCGACCGGCCTTGGCCATCCCTCTCGCCCGAACTATTACCCAGATCCGTCAGTTCAGAATCTGAAGACACACCCAATCGATCGAGGTTTACGTGAGAGGGCCAGGTTTTTCACCTGCCTCCCCGTCCCGCGCCCGTCATGTCTTCCACCGACAAGTCGAGACAATCATCAGGAGGAAAGTCTTTCTTCTCACGAAGTAGGAAAGACAAACGCAACACCAGCGACGAAGGTCGCCATCTGGCTGGAGCCGATTACTCCGATACGGCCAGCGTACACTCGCGCGCTTCTCGCCACCATCGCGACTCGTCCGTCGTTTCGATCGACCAATACCCCGAATCTGGCATGACTGCCGGTCCCATGACGAGTATCCCCTACGACAGCATACCCGACCGATCACCAGTGCCCATCGAATACTTACCCAAGGGCGATCAAGCAGCGGTGCTTCGCCCGAGTCCTTCGCCGCATCATCTCAACAAAGTCACAAGCGACTTTCACCAGTATCCCACCTTCGACACGTCCACAATGGCGGGGGGAGCGGGCTCACATGCGTCGGCGCAGCGTGCACCGGCGTCAAATATCACAATGGCCAGTACAGGCCGCCAGACGCAATACCAACAGTGGGGACCAGGGCCTGCTCGCGGAAGCACGGCGAGCACAATCAATGGGTCCCACAACCCCAGATACGATTCGTACATGACATCGGCGGGTCGTAGTTCCGCTGACCAAGCCAGCATATTCTCATCAGGTAATGGAGGCACCTATGACTTAGCAGCAAATCGCTCATCAAGACCAGCACTGCCCAGTGCTTCTTCGCAGAGTTCCTATTCCTCGCACATGTCCTATAGGGACTCGACGCACCCTTCCTCGCACCGACTGACAAAGTTCCCCGGCATGGGGCCCACTGGACACGATGGGTTTCATTTCCCCCGGCCGGATAACGACGAAATCATCGGCCAGATGTTTCTGGCCTTGATGCAAAAACGAGGATGGCACAACCTACCCGAGCAGGCTCGCCGACAGATGGTCGCGTACGCGGCGGACAAGAAATGGACGCTGCTATACCAGGACCGATTGACCGAATGGCAAGGAGAACAAAAGAGGAGGCAAACAGCGAAACCAAATCAGTATGCGGCCCCGGAGATTCTGGTCAACTCGGACGAGGAGGGTTCACCGGAATGGTACGTCCGACGCGTGATGGATAATAGCTTGGATACAAAGGGCTTGGGAAGTTTGGAGGTCAACCTCAGAACGCAACAGATTGGTTGGGTTAAGCGCTTCATCGAGTGTCAGGGGCAAGTCGCGTTGACCAACGTCCTGATGAAGATCAACCGCAAGACCGCCATAGGACCGGTGCAAGATGGGAGATCAGACCGAAACTTCGACCGCGAATACGATATCATCAAGTGTCTAAAGGCCTTGATGAACAATAAGTTTGGCGCCGACGATGCTCTAGTCCATCAACAAGTCATAATCGCATTAGGGACTTCCTTGACCTCCCAGCGCTTGACAACCCGCAAGTTGGTCAGCGAAGTGCTCACTTTCTTGTGCCACTGGGGCGATGGGGAAGGTCACCTGAAGGTTATCCAAGCTCTCGATTCCGTCAAGGCACAACAAGGAGAAAATGGCCGATTCGACGCTTGGATGCGACTTGTTGAAGTCACGGTGGACGGGCGTGGAAAGATGGGCAGTATGGTCGGAGCCAGTGATGAGGTCCGAAGCGGTGGCATCGGCATGGAGAACCTGCTCATGGAATACGCCGTTGCGACGCTGATTCTCATCAACATGATTGTCGATGCGCCGGAGAAGGATCTGCAGTTGCGGATGCACATCCGCGCCCAGTTTACAGCATGTGGGATCAGGCGCATCCTGACCAAGATGGAGTCGTTCCAATACGACCTCATCGACAAGCAGGTTGAGCATTTCCGAACCAATGAGGCTATCGACTACGAGGATCTGCTGGAAAAGGAGAACAACAGCATCAAGGACAACGTCGAAGGGGAAGTTAAGGACCTCAACGACCCTGTCCAGATCGTGGATGCCATCCAGCAGCGTTTGCATGGAAGCAAGACGCAGGACTACTTCGTC